CCCCTCGTGCCTCCTCTACGGCGCCCACGACGCCCGCTACGAAGACCGACCCATCCCCACCATCACTTCCCCAACAGATGTAATAATCCGCATTGCCTACACAGGCGTCTGCGGCAGCGACGTACCCCTCCCTCTTTCCCCTATATCTCCCAATTCTACCAACCCACTCAACCCCCTAACCAAAGAAACCAGGTCCACTTCTACCACCACGGCGGCATCCACCGCCCCATAACCCCCTCCAACCCGATAACAATGGGCCATGAATCCACCGGCATCATCCACGCCATCGGCCCGGCCGTAACCACCCTCTCCCCAGGCGACCCCGTAGCCCTCGAACCCGGTTACGCATGCCACCGCTGTAATCTTTGCAAATCCGGACGGTATAATCTGTGCCGGGAGATGAAGTTCGCCGCGGTCCCTGGCATATGTCACGGCACCCTCACGCGGTTCTTCAAGTTACCTGCTGATTACTGCTACCGGATTCCGGAGGGGACATTAGGATTGGATGAGGCGACGCTGTTGGAGCCGTTGGGGGTGGCGGTGCGGTCTGTGAGGGAGGTGGGGGTAAAGCCTGGGATGAGGGTGGTGGTTTTTGGGGCGGGGACTGTCGGGGTGTTGTGTATGGCCGTGGCGAGGGAGTTTGGGGCGAGCAGGGTTGTTGGGGTGGATTTGAGTGAGAGGAAGTTGGAGTTTGCGGAAAGTGTGGTTGGGAAGAGGGTTTGGGGGGGTGGGTTTGTTCCATCAGGAGATGCGGAGGATGGAAGGAGGTTGGTGGAGGGATTTTGTGGGAGTGATGATGATGAGGCAGGGTTCGATGTTGTTATTGAGGCTACGGGGGCAGAGGCTTGTATTAACTTGGGCATAGAGGTGGTGAAGGTTGGAGGGGCGTTTATGCAGACGGGGCTGGGGAGGAAGAATGTGAGTTTTCCCATTGGAACGGTGGTTGCGAAGGAGGTTGTCGTTAAGGGGTGTTTTCGGTATGGGCCGGGGGATTACAAGCTCGGGATGCAGATGGCTGTGGAGGGGAGGATTCCGCTGAAGAGGTTTATTACCAAGGTGGTAGGTTTTGAGGATGCCGTTGAGGCGTGGGAGACTACGGCTAGGGGGGAAGGGATTAAGACGTTGATCAGAGGGGTGGATACGCCGGTGGAAGTGTAGCTGTTCATTGGATAGCTAGCTATACCTATATCCTTCACATGCATCCGCACTATACCCTCTGTGTCTGAGTAGTCATCCTCTTCACCTCGTCCTCCAAGACCTCCGGCAGCGTCGCCTCAATACTCGGCTGTGTCGGTGTCCATCCCAGCACCTTGGCTCCTCTCCTGGCGCGTCCCCTCGAATTCAATCCCCAACTTAACGCCTCATACCCACCATACCTCTTCGCGTCCTCCAGACTAATCTTCTCCTTCTCGACATTAGAAAGCAAGCCTAGCTCCGTCGCCGTCAATGCCGTCGCCACAGCCAACTCACCCCAAACATGCTCCCCGTTCTCAGTGAGATAATACGCCCTCTCCCCCCACAGCTCAGGATCATCCCGTCCATGCACAGCCGCCTCCACAAGCAGGACATACAGCTCACTCAAATCATAGATATGGATATTATTCCATATCGACTTACCATCTCCGATGAGTGGCGCCTTCTTAAGCTGCAGTGTCACCTTGGCCAGCTCGTAGACTTGTCGTCCGCGCACGGATACGGGGCCTCGACCACGTCCTATAGAACCACGCCTTAGCAGTATCCCACTTAGAAGAAATGTCTAAACATACCATAAATAGTAGGCGGGCACACCAATGCCGTCTTCACCACATCCCCTTTCGCCTTCGCCGTCTCCAACACCACCCGATCCACATTTCGATGGAACGCATGCTCCGGCAGGTTCAACAATTCGTCCACTCCATCCCAGTCATCATAGACCTTGTCGCTACCCTCCCCGAACACATTCCGATCCGTGTCATGGAACGTCAAGATACCTGTGCCGCCAGTGTGAAGCCAGTATCCGGGCTTTTCTTTGCTGTGGCCTTTTTCTAGGCCCTTGGCGATGGCGTTCGCGGCGCCTTCGTGGTCGGAGGCGTCGGCGGTGTCTGCTAGTTATTAATATATGAAATATGTATAACAGGTAGGTAGGGCTTGGCATACGCAAAACGATATCAGCTTCAGCACTCTCCTTCTCCAAAAGGGCAGAGTCATCTAGATCGCCGATGACAACCCGGATAGAAGGGTACTGGACTTGGACCTTTTCGGCTTTCTCTGGAGAGCGCACCAGCACGGTGTATTTATATTCGGGGTGCTTGGCAAAGATGGCGTAGAGGGCGTCGCCGCCGATGTAGCCGGTTGCGCCGGTGCTGAAAGTCAATTGTTAGTGGGGTATATCTGGGGTGAGATTGGATGGAGTGGTACATGAAGATCTTCGGGAGAGTAGTCATTTTGCTTCTGTAGAAGTTCTTGAAGGGCTAGATTATGGATTGTGTCTATTTGTTTATGGGTAATAGCTCCGTTATATCACTTCTGAGAGTTATTGAGATTAATAATGGCTTTTGGCGATGAAGTCAGTCCGTAAGCCAATGACGTCGGATTCACCAGTTGGTGATTGATAAGTGCTTTCCGCCTGCCGTATTCGGTATGCTCGGCCGACGGCGACTTCCGCCGACTGCAAGTCCGGGGTTACCACTTTCTCGACTCAGCTTAAACTCCGCATGCAGGGTTCGACGGTTACCCTGTTACCCCTCTTGCAATTGCCGGATGGCGGAGAATCGGGTGTATCGTGTGTTGCTGATGCTCAAATTATGGAGTTGAGTTTGACAGAATTCTGATGCAGAGGGGTGTAGTCCTGCTAGGCAGCAGAATATCTTGCGCGCCATACAGAGATAGTATATTGAACTTGAAGATGAAGCCTTGATGAGACCATAGCTTTCCTGAAAAGTTATTTCCACCATGAACAGAATGCTCGTCGAACAACGAGCAAATGGAGCGGGTAGAATTTTGAGATCGATATGCTTTGATAATCAGCTATGCTACCACTGTCATGAATATCATAAAGGCACCGTGAACTGCGGGTCAAAGATAAGCTCCCTGGACCATGGAAATCATCCCAATAAGGTATGCTCCATATCCACCCATATCGCTCATCAAAAGACATCAAAAATTTCTTCACCGGTGGGGTCTCGCCCGCAATGGCATGATCTCGACCCGAGCGTTGCTAGGGCACTCTTCACGCCTGAAGAAGCTTGGGCGGGTTGAGAATTTGGACTACCAATGGCATACATCTCATATGCCGCTCCTCCCGGTTCTACCGTTCTTATTTGACAGTCGGAAAGCTTCCAAGGACAGGACGCGCTATCCCCTCCATCCAGGTGGGTCTAGCCTTTCCCCGTGGCCTGGCGGGTGAAATTTCTTCCCCACGTGCGACTCGCTTTATGAGGATGGCTGCGCACAATCTCACTGATTAAGAAAGGGCCATAAGGCTGTAGAAATAGTGCTAAACCAAGGCTTTACTGCCTTGGTACAGTTATATCCACTTCAAGAGGTGATCAGTATGGACAATATCAACTTCTTCAGGGCGTGACTCACGATGCACGACCACCCGCATATCTCCGCGGCAAGCTTTTACGTACCAATCAAAGATAAGAAATGTGATGCAGTCTGCTTGATGGCTTGGCTATCGGGTCATGCCCGCAGTGCCTTTGCGTCTACATAAAGCGGGGTTCTCCGCTGTTGGCTTTTCACTTCCCCCTCTCTTCCCACTGTTCGCTTGCTCTGAAGAATCCGCCTGGACAGAATGGGTGCAGACCGTATTGCAGTGGCCAATGATGGCATGACTCGTGAGAGAAACATCGAGGCTCAGAGTGCCTTCGCTTCTACTTTGGTGGTGGATGTCGAGAAGGCGCCTCATTCTAAGGAAGTGCCCACTGACAGACCGCATACCAATGTCTATGGCTCCACTATTGACACTCCCACTTCTGTGGCTGGAACCGATGCCGTCTATGCGGCTAAGGCGGCGCTTCTGAACCAGGCGCTGATGGATATGGGTATGGGGTTGTATCAGTGGTTGCTTTTTATTATCACCAGTGTGGGATGGTTTCTCGATAGTGTATGCCTCCATATGAACAGTGGAAAAGTGAAGAAACATTTACTGATCAGTACAGTTCTGGTTGATGTCCTTCACGGTCATCGCCCCCTCCAGCGCCAATGAAGCCCAGTTCTTCTTCACCGACAACAAAGAGGCCTACCTCTTCATCAGTATGTACGTCGGTCTGACCACGGGCTCCACCGCCTGGCCCTGGATGTCCGACATGCTGGGCCGGAAGTGGATCTTCACGAGCACCCTGGTCCTTATGGGCATGGGTGGCCTCGTCGGTGCTGGAATGCCGTCTTTCACCGGCCTTTGTGTCGTTGGCTTCGTTGTCGGCTTTGCAGTGGCTGGCAACCAGGTCGTGGATGCGATGATTCTGCTCGAATCTGTTCCCGCATCTCACCAGTTCCTTGTCTCCATGCAGGGTGCCATGTGGGGACTGGGTCAGCTGGTAGCAGCAGCTGTCGGATGGTAAGTCTACCTACTGTCAGACACCATACCACGCAATCTAACAACCACAGGGCATTTATCGCTGAATACACTTGCGGCACCGGTCCCGACGAGATCAGCACCGGCACAGCCCTCTCCCACCAGTCCCGCGCCGACCACTCCAGCAGCAGCAGCAGCTCCCAATGCCATTACGTCTCCAACAAGGGCTGGCGCTACGTCTGGTGGACCTTCGGCTGTATGACACTCTTTCTGTACTTGTGCCGGTTTGCCTTCCCGCTGCGCGAAACCCCCAAGTATCTGCTCTCCAAGCGCCGCGACGCCGAAGCCACCCAGCTCGTCAAGGACATCGCCGCCTACAGCAACCGTAAGACCTGGCTGGAGGAGTCCTCCTTTGCGCGCATTGACTCGACCGTTGATGCCAGCGCCCCCGAGTCCCGTCGCCAGTCGCGCACCAAGTCCCTCCTGTCCTCTGCCGGAGCCATCGGCCTCCCCGTTCTCTGTCTCCTCTGGGCCGTCGCCGGGTTGACTTTCACCCTGCACAAAACCTACATCAGCAAGTACCTCGCCACTAAGGGTGTCGAGGCGGTATCAGCTACCTCCGTGACTACTGGATACCTCTACAGCCGGTACCTGTACGTTGCGCTGTGCGCTATCCCCGGCCCGATCGTGGTGGGTCTTCTCATTGAGGCGAAGGGACTGGGTCGCAAGCGCACGGGATCTATTGTCGCTGTGCTGACCGGTTTGTTCATGTTTCTCGCGACGGTGTCGCGGTCGAGGAATGCGCTGCTCGCGTTCGAATGTATCCTGTCGTTCTTGCAGACGGCGACGATGGCGGTGCTAGTTACGTACTCCGTCGAGGTGTTTGCGGCACCGTTCCGGGGTTTCGGGCTGGGAGTCGTCGGATTCTGCTGGGGATTGTTTGGGTTGATTGCTAGTATTATTACGACGTTCGAGAGCACTGTTGCCGATGGTGCGGCGGTGTGGTTCTGTGGTGCTATTTGGGTGATCATGGGTGGTGCTTGGATGGTTGTGCCTGAGACGAAGGGTCGGGCTGCTGCTTAGATGGGTGTGATGTGAGGGAATGATGTGATGCGATCTGATGTTGAATGAGTGATGATTCACGTGTGTTGATGTCATGGCAAGATTAATTGCAAGTAATGAACGAATCTATATACGATGATTGTATCTACAGATCCCTTCTGTGCACCCTCTGGTAAACAATAGCCGCAACCCCAAGCACAGCAGACACCCCCAACAACCACTTCGCATACCCACTCTCTTTCTTCTTTGCCTCCTTAGCCTCAACTTTGGGCTTCCGAACCATATACCACGGCACAAAATCCCCCATATCCTCTCCCTCTCTCGCAAGCTCAAACCCATGCTTCAAATACACGGGCCTCGCCCCAGGCGCAGAAACCACGAATGTCTCGATACCTTCTTCATCCGCGCGGGTTGTTCCCCACTTGATCATCTGCGATGCGACGCCCCGTCGTCGGTACTCGGGCTTAGTGCCGAGCATGTTGAGATCTAACCAGTTAGCCATATCCATATCCCGGACCACACTCATTAAAAATCAAGAAGTGAAGGAGAAAAAAAAGGATAAATCATACAATAAAACCTCCTCTCCCCCATGATAGCCCCCACGTTAGTCTTGAAATGCTCCAGCGTTACCTTCAGGAGCTCCAGATCGCCCACGTGAGATGGGTACGTAGCGAGGAGTTCTTGAGTCTCGGGGTCTTCTCCATCGGCATGCTCCTCTTTTTCAGTGTCGCTCACGGCAGGATCTTGCTGTATAGGAGCAGGCAGCTTCCACTCCAGAAACCCGACCAGCTCATGGTCTTTCTCTGTATCGATGACTTTCAGGATTTGGTATTTATCCACCCCCTCCGTCAGTTTCCGGGTGAAGCTGGCTACCCACCAGGCGTGGATCTCGGGGGTGTTGGGCCAGAGTCGCTGGTCCACGGGTTGGTCGAAGCACTGGAGGTAGAGGGTTGCGAGGGCGTGGGTGTCGGAGGGGGTACAGGGGAGTTGTTGGAGCATTTTGATCTTGAATATCCTTTACTTCTATGGGGTTTTTCTTTGGTAGTTATGTAGAATTAGTTTGGGCGCAAAGGACAGAATAGGACACTCTGGAGGTGAGAAAAAGGGAACGGCGGTGGGATTTAATAGCCAGCTGTGCCGTCTTACGGAGATTACGATTAATATGCAAACGCTAAGATAGTCATTTGCTTGGGCTAATCGCGCTAGTTACTCCGCAAGATATGAATGGTTGGGCAGGGAGGTGAGAATATAGCCGGCACTTGGACTAGTGTGTAGCTAAGATGCATTAGTGGTGTCTGTTAGGCCGCCCACCAATCCGCGTAATTCCGCTTGGATAATTTATAGTAGTGTTCTGCTTATCGTAGACATTAACATTATCATTAAAATTCTGATCCATAAATCAATATGTGGTGATCCCTTCGTAATGTGTCCTAGTGAGTCTTCTCCAACATGACAGGCTCCGGACTCCGTACCGGACTTGACATCCGTGGGTCATGCGGGTAAGCCTGTGTCTGACCCTGGACTGGTGCCTGTGGGTATTGTTGTGGGTACGCCTGCGGCTGTTGTCCCTGGTGGCCGTAGCCGTAGCCGTAATTGTGTCCCTCTCCCTGGGGAGGTTGTTGCTGCGATTGACCCTGTCTCGGCAGAAACGCCCGGCGATTCAGTCCCTCTCTCGCATTCGATCGATTTTCTCCACTCTTTGTAGCTTCAATCTCCCTCTTCACGCCCTCATACATATACTCGATGAACTGGATCTCATCCTGGATATCCAACGAACAACCAGCCAGACACAGCTCGCGCTCGCGCTGCTCAATATACTCGCGAATATTCCGCCACTCATTCTGATAGTGTTTCAATCGATCCGGAAGCCCCGAGCCCTTCAGGTAAGTCAGCACGCCGGCCATGATCGTGTTGATGGCGCCAAAGGCCGTCACGGCGGAATGGGGGCCACTAGCGGCGCCGAGAGCCGTTAGGGCGGCGGCCACAACAATCTGGATGCCCAGACAGACGTTGATGAGGATGCTGAAGAAGCGGTAGCGCGTGGCAGCAGATTTTTCGGCCTCGACGACGCGCGTGTAGATGCCGATATTGGGGGCGGTGCGGCTGAAGTGGTGGAGGGTGTTGAGGGCAGGGATGCTGTCGATGCCGGTGAGGGCACGGAAGACAAGGAGCTTGTCTTGGGGTGGGATGAGGGAGCTGGCTTGTGTCGTGGAGATGGTGAGAGGGGGTTTGTTTGCGGGTGGGTGGAGTGGTGGCATGGGACCGTGTGTTGAGATGTTGGATGGAGGAGTGGGAGTTGGCATGGTGCTCGCGCTGCCGTTCGGGATGGGGATGTCATAGGGTGGGTTGGTGTGGTGAGATTGTCCTTGTGGGATTGGAGGCAGGCCTTGTTCTTCGCGGTCGAAGGCGGCGTGGAGAAGCCGTCGAGCGAAGTTGGGACGGCGATTAGGGACGGCCATGATGAGTTGAGGAGAAACGAGGTGAAAATGACGGAGAGAATTGTGTGCGATTCAGTTGCTCGTAAAGAGGGTCCAACCCCTTTATTTGTAGCGGGGTGGTGCTTGATCCAAGCTCCTTTTCCTCATTTCCGGCATGGTGTTGGGGGGTTTGATAGGTTGCTCAGCACACCTTGATGGGCGCCACAATTGCTGCTAAGGACGGATATGCCGCGCGCTGAGCGAATGGATAGCGGAGAGAAGCTGAACGACACCCTGCATTGGTCCATTATTGGGGTGTCAGACCGTCGAGGGTTCAGCGGGCAAAACTCTGAAGATAGAGAGCTGGCGGGCTGGACCCTCGACCCACAGCGATCGACACAGTTCGGCACGAGACATGGGACGTGCACCTTGGCCAGCAGTGAGATGAGAGAGGTGGAAGTTGGAACCGATTGGCTTGTCGGCAGTGGGCCGTTCATGGTGGACATGCAGTGGACAGCTTTGGGGGGCAGCTGAACGGGCCTGGCGTTCCTGAGCATTGAATGCCAGTGGATGTGTTGGATCGAACTAGCAGAAGGATCGCAATGTGATTCGCCGTGCCATTGTGCCGATTGTGATGTGACAGGCGACACGAGTCCGGCTGATGGGGGTTGTCCAAGCAAACAAACCATCCTGCAGGGAAAACAAGCTCAGAATTGTCCGTCCACCCGTTCGCAGCGGGTTTACCCGCTGTTGTGTCTCTTTGTGTTGTCGGAGAGAAAGTTTGGCGCCCGATGAACCCGTGTTCTGCATCCCGTCTGGCATCTCCACAGCTTGACTAACTGACTGGTCGCAAAAACAGGTCATTAGGATGGCGGGCTGAAGCGATGCCGGCGGCTGCCCGAACCATGGATGTGAGGCTGTCAGATGCAGCGCAATCTTGGGACTGCAGCTATCCAGTGCGACGTCTGCAAGCGAACCGCCGATCGGTCATGGCTGTGCGGGCCGAGACTAATTTCGTCTGGACTTTTGGAGTGAGAGTCAGACGAACTTCCATGAAGCGACAGCTATTATCTGCATTATGTATAGATCTCTGATGTGTGTTACCTCAGCTTCAATCCGGCCGAGGTGTGGAAAAGAAGGATGATGATAAGATGAAGTTTTTATCTTTCTTATCGCTTTCTCTTATTCTGTTCTTTCTTTAATCTCCGCTTCTCCTCCCCGCGCTTATTAATCCGTCTGTAACCCGACTTTCGCTCATTAATAAAAAGAAGCGCAAAAGAGCCCCTCAATGGCGCCATTGCTTCCATTGATATCCCTCAATATAATCCCCAATTCCAATTCACAGTCCTTCTAAACCAATATATGCCTTCTACTGTTAACATGGGCGAAGCACCTCCCGTCAAAGAGCATCTGCTCATCGCCTACGGCCGCGATCTTCCGCAATGGCTGATCGACGAGACGCAGGCCAAATTCCCCGAAGCCGAACTTTCCATCCTGCAGCTGCCCAATTTCGCGCCAATTCCAGCTGGTCAGTGCTGGCTTCTCGAATCCCTGCTCGCTCTGTGGCCATCATTAATCAATCAAATTCACCAGAAATCGCGCGCAAGACCACTCTCCTCGTCACCTTCAGCAACCTCCCCGCGCCGGAAGATGCATCCAAGTAATTCCTCCCCCTGTCACCTCAAATTTCAGCTACAGAAATAGAACACAGTTAATATAAATTCATTTAAATCAATCTAGAATCAAAATCATCCACTCCCTCTCCTCCGGCCTCGACCACCTCCTCTCCCACCCCATCGTCAAAGAAACCTCCATCCCTCTCACCTCCAGCTCGGGCATCCACGGGCCCCCAATCGCCGAATGGACCATCATGAACTGGCTCGTCGCCTCGCGACGCTTCGTCTACACCCACGAAAACCAACAAAAACACAACTGGGCGAAAAACGTCGACTTCATGAACACCGTCCATGACCAAGTCGGCAGGAAAGTCGGAATTCTCGGATACGGAAGTATCGGACGACAAAGTATTTCCTTCTCCCCTTACAAATTCCCCTGTATCCTGGTCTCCAAGAAAAAGCACTAACTATGGAAAAGTTGGCCGCGTCGCCTCCGCTCTAGGCATGCAAGTGCATGCCTACACAGCCTCGCCGCGCCCGACCCCGTCCTCCAAGAAAGACAACGGCTACATCGTCCCCGGCACCGGCGACCGCGACGGCACCATCCCTGTATCCTGGCACCATGGGACTGACAAGGCCTCTATCCACGAATTCCTATCCCTGGGTCTAGATCACCTTGTGATTGCGTTGCCGCTGACACCGCAGACAACCCGTATGCTTGGGACTGAGGAATTCGAGATCCTGAGTCGTGGTGTGTCTGCAGAACGGCCACGTCCGTACCTTACGAATATCTCTCGGGGGAAGGTCCTCAATCAGGATGCATTGATTGAGGCGCTGAAAGGAGGAGTGCTGGGCGGAGCGGCGCTGGATGTGGCGGATCCGGAACCGTTGCCGGAGGATAGCCCGTTGTGGGAGGTGCCGAATGTGCAGATCAGTCCGCATGTCAGTTCGGCGGGGAGGGAATATATTCCGCGGTCGTTGGATATTATGAGGGAGAATGTGGGGAGGTTGGAGAGGGGGGAGGAATTGTTGAATGGGTTTAAGAGAGGGAAGGGGTATTGACCTCATTGCTTATGGGGTTGGGTGACTTCATGTATATGACTTTTGGTATTATTCATTCATAAATAGTTCATACATATACCTAACTAACTGAGAGAATTAATTTATTGAGTAAGCCATCCCCGAATACCCTCCTCTACGACCACACCCAGCACACCCGCGCCAAGCACCACCCAGGTCCAGGGGTTCACTACCTCCGTGAGACCGGGCCAGAAGCTGTTCTTCTCGCGCCGCCAGCTTTGCAGCTGCTCGTACTTGTGCAGGTCCTCGGTGCGGTACCGCGTCTCCTGGCTGGCTTCGGTCTGGCGGTCGCCGCCGACGAAGCGGAGGAAGAAGTAGTTGGTTAGGGGACCGAGAAGGACGATCGGGTTGAAGTTGTTGGCGACGTTGAGGACGGCGAAGGAGATGTGCACGAGGGTGTCGCCGAGGTAGCTGGTTTCATTAGCCCAGATCCTGCAGGTAGTATGAAAGTGAGGATGCGAAGGGGCAGCTTACTTAGGGTGTCTGACGATACTCCACACGCCGTGCTTGCACAGATCGGTCCGTTCCTGACGGTGCAACTCCAGCTGCGCATCGGCCATGACTTCCAATGCGAATCCAGCACCGAAGAGCGCGACACCAAGTGCGCGCACGGCAGACTGGACATCACCGTCCAGCGACAATGTCGACGAAGTCAACCGGAACGGCACGGTAAAGGGCAGGGCGATCAGGGTGAGGAAAGCCGCCTCAGGGAGATACTGCTTCAAGAGAGCCGAGGTCCAGAATCCATTGGGGTCTTCCTTCTTCAGCTGGTCGTAGCGCGGGTCATCCTTGCCGCGGGTGATAGTCCGTGAAGCGATGCGAGTAAACAGCCGAGTACCCCAGACCGTAACACAAGTCAATAGTACCTTTTCAGTCCAAGAGAGAGTCGACCAGGCAGTTTGCGGGGAGATGTTGTGATAGTAGACTTGGTGACCAATGGCGCTCCACCAGGCGTTGATGACTTGGCTAGAAGGCCAGCACCAGTCTTTAATTTCGGCGCGGTCAGTGGCCTTGGATGCAATAAAAGCAGCGATGTCGAGAGTCGTGTGGAGAGTGAAGGAGGGGAGGATGGTCGATTTGAAGATCCCGATGTCGGCCGTGTGAAGCCGCGGGTGAGGGTGAAGATGAGGGTGCGGGATATAGTCGTTCCCGAAGGGAGCGCTCCCGGATACGTTCATGGTGACTGGGATGATCACTCAGCTGTGGTTGAGGTTGAAAGAGATCGAGCTTCTGGGAGGAATTGGATTTGGTTTTATAGAAGGGGGTGCCAGTTGATGTCAGTCTTATGTAACGGCGTCATGACGATGACGTCCGCTGCTTGCGGGCTGGTGGAGCCGCCCTGCCAGGGCCAGACTGGGACCCTGATCGGTCCTGCCGAGGTTTAGGTTCGTGTTCAAGTTGTGCGGGGATGCAATTGATTGACATTGGTGTTTGCTACCTTGTACTGTGTAAATAACATTCTGTATCTTGGTAGACTAATCTGGTGCAAAGCAGTAGGCCACTCGAACAGCTAGCTGGCTCTGATAAGATAAGATAAGATAACAAGTGAAATCACTTGGAATGCCCGCGCTGCGCTAAACGAGAGAAATTCAAGTGCACATCCGGCAATCCCGACCGTTCTGAAGTCCGGTAATTGCGCTGTATCAAACTCGTCAGTTGATTCCTCCAGAGATCAAGCATTGTTTCTGTATCTTTATGTGGCGGGTTAAATGCTTCACACTGGTCTCCGCATCCGGTATAAAGATCTGTCTTGGTTAAATGGTCGCATGTGGTTGAAATGAGCGAAATGTCGGCCTCTTGGGTCAGAGCCAGACTGTACAACTCACACCCATTTGGAATGTTTTCTAATGGCAGCTTCTCTGTGTTAATCCTTCTGGTCTTTGATATGCCATCTTCGTTCTGATCTTGCACCTTGTAACGCATTAAATACGACCGTGGGTCATGTGGACCCAGCACAGGCTTCGTCGGCTCGTCCCGATCAGCATCTGGGTGCTTCTGGAGTGCGGCTTTGGCAGCTAGATACCGACTTAGATGGGGTGAGCTCGGGTTTCGCTGGCTTTTGAGTTGTTCCCGGCGCTTAAGGATAGCCTCCCTCTTGCGGTTCTCAAAGTCGAGTGCACGTCCCAGCTCTTGGTGGTTATTCTCAGAAAGAAGCTGACGTAGAGTAGCCGAGGACCTTCCACGGTCGGGTGCGTGGCTTTCCCGAAGTTCGGAGTCTGCAGCGCTCCCAAGCAAGGGAGTACCAGCTCCTTCATGCTCCGTTTCTGCTTCTGCAGAGCTAGCCTGAAATTTGGGAGACTGATTATGAGTAGTAACAACACCATCCTCTGTCGATCCTGGGTCGCCTGATGACCTCTCTGGTGAACCGAATCTTTCTTGCGCCAACTGCTGCAATGAGCGCTCGTCCCCATTTCCTGTGGGCACCTCGCCTGTGGTTGACTGAGACAAGGAGGCTGGAGTTTTCCCCAACCAGCCATCAAGGGCTCCGTTTCCGGGATGTCTGTCATGGTCCATCGAGGTTTGCCTTGTCCTCGGAAGAGGAGTTCGAGGCGTCCATGGACTAGACGGCGAAGACTGAGCTTCAGTCACGTAGCCAGCAGCAGTCGTGGAGCCAGCAGCAGTCGTGGAGCTGATAGAGGGACTCGGTAGGAGAGACCCTGGAGAGCATGTCTGCAGTGTTTCCTGTGAGTTTCTTCGGCTTTCAGTCGGATACCGCACAATTTCATGTCTCACTATCTTGTCAGTGTCACTGCGCGATGAGGAACTGTCGCGCGTCGGCATCTGCTTGCTTGGCTGAGATATTGACCAGGGGTTGCTAATCGCGATTCTCGTCTCCGGACGATTCTCAGTATTGAAGCTGTCTGGATCCTCTACATCCGGAGTCCGTGGTGTCGAGGAAGAGCCATAACTGCTTCTAGCCCTTGATTCATCCGGACTTTTACGGGCAAGAAGCAATTCGAATGAGTTTCGATAGGAAGCGGGCTCTTTCCCTTTATCGATATTTCTCGGTCTCTCTGTTGATTTTGCTTGAACGCCGTACACATCACACAAAAGCTCTTCTACCAAAGAAAGAAGCTCTTCCCGATCTTCAAGAAGAACATCATCTTTAGCGGGCTCAATGTTGACGTCGTAGCTTGCATTAGTACACTGGAGGTGAAGGCACAGAAGCGGATCTGTAATGTTTATAGCTGCCTCCTTACTGGAAGCAACGACGCGGATATAAGACTTATATAGTTTCGCAATATCTTGCGCGATCCCTCGGGTGGTCGATAAGGGCCTGCCATCAATACTGATATACTGCCCCAAGCCGTTCAGTTTCGTAAGGTCTGACACTGTCAGTCGCACTCAGGGTCTCACAGAGCAGCTACATACCGGATTCTGGCTTTGGAAGGAACGCGAGTATCCGAAATGGCCTGTCGCTGTCATTCTCAGATGGCCAGACCTTGACCAGACAGCTAGAGGCGACTTCGGTGCCCACAACTTTCAATACTGCATCTACAAGGCTAGTGTTGTTGCCTGGGGCATACATCCAGTTGTTCGTCTCTGTCTTTGCTTTGAGGACCTTCAAGGATAAACGTTTGGAGGGTTGGGCAATAGCGTATGCTTGTACGAGCTTCTTGATCCTCACGACCGTCTTGGCCGCTTTCTTTAACGTAGTTTGTCTCCGGACTGGGATGTGTTTGAACAAATCCGCTATGCGAACACTGGTTCCTACCGGATGTGACGCTCGCTGGGTACTACATCGGTCAGCTTTGGTTATCTCAATTGGCGGTAGGAATCACCTTAGAAGCTCTCCATTTCTGCTGTATCTGATAGAAGAACCAACCGGCTCATGCTGTAATCTAGTGGTGATAGTCACGCCACGGGATACCTCAGCCGCACTAGCAAGTGCTTCGCCTCTAAAACCTAGAGACTTTCCGCCGATAGTTCTAAGATCTTCGACGGATTGAATTTTGCTAGTGAAGGTGCGTTTGCAGACAAAAGGATGATCGGTAGAGGGGATACCATGGCCATTGTCTTTCACTTGTATTACATCAAGTGTATTTTGTGAGATCTCAATAAGTACCGAAGTCGCTGCGGCATCCAAGGCGTTGTCCAGGAGCTCCTTGACAATGGAGCAAGGATCGGAAATAACAGACGCGGAGCCAATTGCCCGCACCGCCGCTAGGGGGAGCGCTGCGATTGGCATCCTTAACTGAATACAAGCGATTGGTCAGTCATTGGAGTGACCTTGACGTAGAATACCGATGAACCATATCAAAATATATATTATACAGCTGACTTTAGATGGAGTATACGATGCAATAGACTGTCCTGGATGATCAATGCGGATGAAGGATGATGGGTGAAGGAGTATTTCCACGCACAACACGGCGGCTGAGCACGTGAGCTGAGTCAGCCGCACCACGTGGCTTGTCAACATCGACAACATTCAGTCTCCCTCTCGATCATTCATCGCGTGCTGCCAGTGGATGGATTCAGAGATGATGTGCAACCAGCATGGCTAGCTCTTCATTCCGGCTGTCGCAACTGGCGATTCCATCAGTTTGCATCTTAATTAGCTTCCTCGCATACAGCTCGCAGTACTTCTTCCTGTACTTCGAGCCAGCTCCACTGAGAGACACTGAATTATGGCGCCTTAACATCTTTGCCCTGTGCATCTGGATATGCTATTATCGAACCTGCACTGTAGATCCTGGTCATATTCCCAAAGATTGGAAACCATTAGACAGTAAGCAACTGGAAGCCGACCGTGCTAGTGGTCGTCAACGATGGTGCCGTAAATGTGAGGCATACAAGCCGCCAAGAGCCCACCATTGCCGGACGTGCCAAAGGTTAGTTATGTCAATTCAATAGGTGGGCTTCATACTGATGCTGGCTCTAGATGCATCCCCAAAATGGACCATCACTGCCCATGGACCTCGAACTGTGTCTCGCACTTCACGTTCCCTCATTTCGTGCGTTTTCTATTTTACGCCGTAACGGGAATGTCTTATCTTGAGACTCTTCTCTATGAGAGAGCATCAATCATTTGGGCCTCCCGAAATCGTCCAAGCGTAAGATTATTACTCTAGACGAGTCCACAGAAGCTGATGCAGATGTTGCTTAGTATTTAGGGCCTAGTGCGCTGCAGATGGGCCATCTATTCGTTCTCCTTGTGGTGAACAGCTTCACGGTCTTCTTTCTCATGATTCTTCTCGGTCGAACCATCTGGTCTATGAGCATCAATACAACTACTATTGAAGAATGGGAAATTGAGAGACACCAAACACTGGTTCGTCGATCCCGCCACTTCGGTGGGTATTTGACCGGGCCAGGTGGCGTCAGGATTCGGATCAGAAAACAAGAATTCCCATACGATATCGGGATCTGGTCCAATATCAAGGCGGGGATGGGTGGAACTGCAAATGTTGGTTTGACTTTCCAATCACGTTCTGACTGAGCTGCGGGCTAATCTATTGTATAGGTTCTTAGCTGGTTTTGGCCGTTAGCCAGGACACCTGACCGTCGGACGGGATTAGAGTTCGAAGTGAATGACTTCGAAGGTATGTGGATGAGACTCAATATTAGATGACGGGCTGACCTCGGATAGATCCTGATGTTACCTGGCCACCCCCCGACCCAGATAGGATCCCGGTTACAGCTAGAGCAGCTATGGACGATATTGAGCCCCGGACTCCATCCATCTACGGGAGTGCAGGGGGAATGCCCATTGGGGGCCCGAATGCTACTCTGAGAGCTAGCCAGGACATCAGACGTCGTAAGCGCTTCCATGATCGGGCACAGGAAGAACTAAATCAAAGCGCGTCATCTCGGGAATCTTCGCCAGGTTACAGTTCTGAGCCCGAAGATGGTGAGGAAGGCTGGAAGAACTCTGAAGGCGAGAGACTTCGTGACTTTGGAGTGGAAGAGGACATTGAGTTTTACGACGAAGAGGACATCCCACTGGCCATTTTGATGCAACAGAAAGCACAGCGACAATGAGCATACTCCCACTCTCGACTACAAGATTTATACCGTACATACATACCGATGCCAGCAATAGTTAGAATTTCCAAACATCAGCCTATAAAAATCATACTCTGGCATTCTGTTTCTTTCTCAATCCAGCTTGCAGTATCCACTTAAGCCAGGCTCAGGTGGTTACTGCCACAAAGGAAACCCAAAATCCACAGTATCAGCAGCCAACAATGTCCCTAGTCCAGCTGTAGTGTTTGATTATGCGTTCCTCCTCAGTCAGTTTGGAAGTAAATGGGGTTCTTGCTATACTCGGCCAGCTTCTCCCGTACCCAGGCAGCCTGTCTCTCACCACTGTCAGCAGGAAGACTGTTCACAATGCCGGTTGTGTCGCCTCCACCAAGCAGCACTGAGAACATTCCCCGCAAAGGGAGATCATGATAGCCTGGGACCGTTAGGTCAAATGGCTGGGAGCGCTGGAATAGCTCTTCCACGGATTTAGCGTTGTAAAATTGTGCATCCAACTTCAACGCCAAGATACTCTTGTGAATATTGCGGTAGCCGGAGCCAACACTGGGATCGCCCAGGAAGTAGCTACCTCCCGTGCCCCAATGTTGCGCTGTCGGAAAATCCTCCTTGACATCATCCTCAACGATGGGCGTGCGGGCTGCTGAGATCTGCCAGGGCATCACCGGGGCATGCAGTTCCATGCTGAGCGCTTCACAGAAATCGAGGTATCGGCTCCATTCGCGTGGGGCAAAGCAAAAGTGCAAGGGATAGCTTGCTGATGTGAGGTCGTCACGTTCCCACCGGTCGACGGCTAAGAAGTCGACAGGGGGAAGCTCATCATCATCCTTCTCCGGGACTGTTTTGGGCCATACCCCAATAGCATCCAAATAGTCTGCTGTCTTTTTGGCTTCTTCAGATGCCACGTTCTCCTCTTTGTATATCCACAACGCGCTGATTTTTTCTCCCGCCCAGAGGTTAACCTGCCACCCAAGCGAAACGGAAGGTTTCCCAGTTTGTGGGTCCTTCGTCATGGTCCGCACCAGCCAGTGCAGTGCACGCACATATCCACGAATGGTGTTGTCGATGTCTTCTGGAATAAGATCGATCATGTGTTCTTCATTCCGGAACTTTAAAGCTTCTTTTAGTGAATCGAGAAATCGCACTTCGGAGTCCGCCGTGTAGCCGCGCTTCTGGCACTCGCCAATAAGATCGGGGTTGAAGATCCACGCGGCGCGTAGAGGGCGTGGGGCCTCCTTAAAGTCCATGAGAAGCTGTAGCGCCTGAATGAGGTTTCCAAGGCTGTGTTTGTGCTTCTCAGCGTTAAGTAGAACATCCTCCCCACCGGAGAAGTTGCAGGTATATGATATCAGCACTGGCAGAACAGTATGGTCAGTACCAATAGCTTTTTCGATGTCACGCGCAAATTCTATGACTTTTGGTGTACATTCTTCCTCCTTTAAGATATCATCATCGGGGTCGCCGTTACCACGTGAGCCGGCATATTTGAAGATTGACGACGCGCCAGCCTGCACAAAATCTGTGAAGTCGTCATTACTCTCGTCGAACGCTGAAGGTCTACTGAGGTCCCGGGTGCAACCACCGAAACTTAGGAAATTAGGGAATCCAGGGACATTGAGATTCACAGCAACATTGATACTCAAATCCAGCACTGTGTTACCATCTTCGCTGACAGTGAGAGTGGGGTCAGATGTAACTTGGTACAGGACTCCGTCTGCAATGAACCGATGTGCCTGCACTTCGTAGTCCCCGGGCCCCACCAGCACTGGGAATTGGGGAGCTTCGTCCTGCATATCCACTCTGTTTGTGTAAATAAAGCGGGACGTCTTTTCCATGAGGTGCACTGTCAATGCTCCTGCGCTTATTGAGTCTTGCTTCTTCAGCTTGATGGGAAGCTTGACAGCACCCGGTACTTGACTCTCATGCTGCTTCACATCGTCAGCCGTGAAGCTGATGGGTGTATTGCGTGATAAATCAATATCCTTTCGAGTGAAGTCATATTGGATGTTGTTCACAATAATTGGATCTACGCTGATTGTTGCATCTCCTGTTGGCGGGAGGACGCGACGCGGTTTCGTGGTTGCTGGGACTAGGCTCCAGAAGTCGTAGAGCGGGTTTTCTGCGTTGCTGAACGTGACATGCACTTCCTCTCCCTCGAGCCCAGAGATGTTGTCAATCACAACGTCTGTCGAGCTGTAATGTTGGACGGCGTACGTCACATTGATAGTCGGGGCTGTCTTTCCCTCTTCAACCTCCACTTGGGCTGGCTGAACCTTTGCAATGGCAACGATGGTTTCATCATCCGTGAATAACTCCGAGGCGGTGATTTCGTATGTGCCCCGGTTCAAATCGACTTCAGTCGTCACACCGAATGGCACGTCTTTCATAAATACTCCATCGTCGTTTTCAAAGAACAGCGCCTGGCTGTCCACGGTGATCCCATCTGGTCGAGGATCACAAGCGATTGGGACAGTGCCGCTTACGTCAGGCAGATAGTTTTTCCATAGACGTACGGAATTCTTGTAGTGCTCATCTGTAGGATCACCGGCCATAGAAAAGTGAAAGTCCACGACTCTGAAGCCGTCGGAGCGGTCAGACGAACTAGGCTGAAAGGTGAACTTGACGTGGACTTCCAAATCGTCGCCGCTAGGATGACTGCTCTTCTCAAAGCTGAAGGCGCACCAAGGATCGGTCGAGATCCTGGTGTCATCTGAGAGTTTAGCGGGCGACAAGAATGCAACTCCAAGGTAATCTGTTCCTTTAATTTCCACGGCATTCCCGTTCTTGTCGTGTACGTCCGTGATAGATATATTGCCCCAATTCGCATCACCATCTGTGTTGACCGTGCCGTAAATCTCCTCTCCTGAGTCCGATGCTTGGGATCGACGAAAATACTTCATGATGGCGGTCATGATGGCGGTATGTAGTGTCTTGGACGTTGAGTCTTCCGTTACAGAGAGTAAAGTGTGTAAGTCAATCGATGTCTGCTAGTAGGTTTAAGTAGTAGAACTTCGAAAAAATTGGCAGGTGTGAGAGCGGTCTATTTATACAGCTATCCCTCCCTCTCGACTATGGTACCGGCCCAGTCTATCCACGATAGACATTGCCCAAGTTTACGATCTTTTCGCATATGGCTAGCTGTAGTTGTATGGTATGCGCGATTTGTAGGCAGAAGAGACGTCATGAAGAATAGTGGTCCGTCGGAGACAGCGAGACATAAGCCTTGCAGTTTGTTACAGTCGCAGTAGCATTACATATATCGAGGGGCTCAAGGAGTGTGATCCCGTCTTCTTATTGGCTTTCCATTACTACTGTGACCATCTATGATGACTTAAACGATGAATTCATGCTGCTTTCATATCAAAGCTGCCACAAGGTTTGTACAATACTCTGCATTTGGAGATATTCCCGTATACATACCGTGGCTAAAAACCCCGTCCACCCGGATGCAAGCCCAGCATGATGCACTTCGGGTCTTGATGAAACCTCTCTGGCAAGTAGCCTGAGCTGTTCGTACCTAAGACTAGATCTCTTGTCTGTGGTACGTAAGCCTTCTTCACGAGAATAATCAAATGTTCCATGGTTTAAGGGCAAACACTTGGAGACTTGACGATCCAAAAAGCCGACCCTTGCATCTTGTGTACCCCGGGGACGGGCATGCTGCCTACATGCTCAGCTCCTCTAGTGCGGTAGGGCTCAGTTTCCCCATGCAGCTGCGTACGCTTGTGTTACATTAGCCATCAAGGGGTTGGCCGGACTTCCCCGCGTCTCAGCTGGCATGTCGAGCGCAAGCGGAGGATCCGATTACGATATAGCTCAGTTATTGGATCGTCAGTTGACATTGCATGTATTTACATAGGATAAGCCTTTGAATACTAGTACCCTTACTTTGTTTTGAATAACTCACTTCTTACGCTGTGTGTTACAGCATTGGACGCATGGGGATAGCGGGGTGGGTATTTCACATAGCCCTTCATTTTCTCCATGAGTTGCATGAATGCAGTAGAATTTAAGGGTTTTTCATAGTAGCGTTGACAGCTCAGCTGAACCTCGATTACACTGTACTACAGGTTTTCTGCAGTAGTCGTATGTTCTAACATGAATATCAGCTCAAGCCCAACACTCTGCAAGCTTCATGACTTATTGGTCATGCTACATTCAAGGCGACTACAGTACCCATCTTTCCCTACCAGAGGCTCATCACCGTTTACATCCATGGATCGGTAGTTCACACACAACGTAGAAGCAGCAATCATTTTGGATAGCAGTCTCTGTCGTTTTGACAAAGCATTTACGTTACCGCGGAATGCGTACTGTTGAATGCAAAATTAAATCGAATAGTTGACTGGTAATGTGTCATACAGTAAAGTAAGTGGGCCTCGATTCCCGAATACTGATCGCAGAGGATATCCCAATTGCAGTAATGGCCAACCGCAGAAGATCGGGGGAGGAAGCCCATGAGGTGTTCTAACATGTTTGTAATCCCTAGAAGCCCAAGCTTTATCCTTATTTTGTTTGCAAAGGGACGTCGGTTACATATCCGAACGATGCATGGTTCGATACCGGGGTTCTGACGGCGATGACAGCATGACTCCCCGAACATGCTTCCGTGTCACCTTATGGTCTGACAAGGTTGGTAGTTCATTGGAAACTGAATGATAATTGTCAGATAGGTCTGAAAAGAAAAGTCACACAGATTGTCATTGGCTCTCAATGGTCTGAGAAAGAAGAGACTCTTGATGTCAAATGTACTAATGAACTTCAATAATCCCAATCAATCAAGGTTGTCCATAGTTAAGGGCTGCGCCTGACACTGCTGTCAGGAATACTAGTATGTTACATTTTACGATGGCAGTAAATATCGCAAACGTTTACTACTGTCGGGTGGTGCGATATTTTTGCTTCCTTGGATGGTACGTGCTCATGGAATATACAGACGGTCACAGAAGATTCTCGGCTGTGGGTAGTACATTCCATGCCTTCCAAACAGTCACCTCCCCACCAACGATACTTTGTATTATTTGTCCTCACTAAATGATCATCAGTTGTTTTGGTCGGTTCTGCAGGCAGTCAAGGCTGCAGCAAGGGCATCAAATTGTGACAGCGTTCGATTAAACAAATCCTGTCTCATCACTGGTCGTCGTCTATCGAGGACCAACTTCCGATGGTTCTGAATTCGGTGACAGCATCTGGCTTCATACTCCGCCCGTTATGGGCCGCTCTAGGCCAATCCATGCCACTGGTTCATAAGTTGGCAGTCGCTCTCTGAAGTAACCCAGCGGAATGTGGGCCCCGCTTGTCAGTCTGCTGTCAATGTCTCTCTTTCACGAAGGAAATTGCTATGATATAGGTGTGTCTACCTGATGTATTTTCATTGTTGCTGATATGACACAGGCGTGGTGTCAAGTACTTGGATTCCTTATGTTTAATGGTAAAACATGAAAACATTAGGTCTTACGTCGGCATACAAATTGGTTAATGGACGATAATGATTCAAATTATCATCAGACTTTGCTAGATACTACCTCAGCCGTGTCTATTCCAGCCATTACGAAGCCTTAAAACTCCATACACAGTGTCAGTGGAACATACTGTCGGTTCTTTGTTATGACAGCAGATGCAATCCATCTATTGCCTGGTATGTTCCAAATATAGTGACTGACCGAAGTGGATGCCAGAATTCCTTGTTATCATCCTATTGTTACAATGAATATCAGTTCTTATCCAGGAACACATTGGTTGATTCCTGTAAAACTGTAAGTTTCTCTTGAAAATACGTCACTGACAAGACTAGGTGCTTTGTCATATAGATTTTCAATGACTACTGCCATATTGCTGTGTCACGGACCTCTAAGGTTAAGCGTGTAGCTATTTTCCTGATTGGATTTATATTCGCTTGATAAACATAAAATAACAAATATACTAACATTGCGTATCATGTGTCATATCGCTAATAGTTTGTTTTGTTCCCTTCCACGCCGTTGAAGATATTCTAAATTTAGATATGAATAACGAGTAGAATTCATTTTAGCCAGATTTGCTCTATATGGGGTTTTGCAAGCGGGTGATCCGCAAGGTTGAGAGCGGGTGTTTGGCGGACCTAGACAGCAGTCAGACTGCGAGATTTGCCGCTCGGGGTGCTGCTGCTACGTACTCGGAGAGCAGCAAGTGCGATGAGTGTATGATGAAGACGGTCCGTATGAACCGGATTCTGGAGTTGAACAGTTTTACCGTTGATGTTGTGAATGGGATGGCGCCTACTATGGAGCGGGGCACGCTGGGGCTTGTCAAGCAGGTTTCTGCTTGCGTTTCATTTATGAAAGAGGCGTTTACCCGAAGGGTTGTTGGTTGTCAGGCCTTCTGCGGAATGCTCAGATTTACCAATATAACAAGATATTTGGCTCAGTATGCGCGTCCATTCTAAGAAAACAAGCTATCCCTCACACTCTGCTATCCCCATAACGTGTTGTTTAGTTCTTTTCATCCAACTTGTATATCAGTTCCATCTCTCCGTCATTATATTGATCTTAAGCCTTCGTAAGATGGGATAAAAGTTCGACAGCTGGGACCCCCTATACTATGATGCCCCATACATTGCAGCCTCAGGCACAACATGGCATCCACGGAACTGGCGGAAAACGATGATTATCAATCCATCGTCGGGCAAAGATCCACTCGAGTGGAGAATGACCTCTTATCGAGGCTTCCCTTAAACCGTTTCAACTCCGAATTGCTGGTCTCTAACGTGGATTTAAAGTGGATGGGCAATGCTCCACTTCTCCTGCCCCTGACATTGGCCTTTAAATCCCGGCAAGCTGCCACCGATCAAGAGAGTATCACTTTCCGTCTTTTAGCACTCACAGCACCTTCCTCATGCCCTACACCGGCCGTTGTAACTGCACCAGCATCTCCATCACCCTCCCGGCGCAGCCGGAGAGGAGTGTAGCCTGCCACTGGTACCACCTCAAGATCATCCATCAGTAGGGAATCTGGACTAATCGAATGTTGCGCAGCATCAACTGCAAGAAAGCTGGAGGAGGCTGTATGTCTCCTTTCCCCGTCCCTACCCTGCAGTAGCCGCCCAAGACTAAACCAACCAGCCTTCTCAATCAACTACTTCATCAATCAAGATGACATGACCATCGAAGACCCTAGCCAGGCAATGAAGATCTACAGCGATCCCAATACTTCTTCGGGGAACACAATTCAGGTGGGATCATATGCAGTTCGGGGACGATAGTGGGAGTTTGCTGGGCTAACTCGGTCTTTGTAGCGCCATTTCTGCTCTAGTTGTGGAAGGTTAGTTGTTGATTGTGCTTCGTTCCTGTAATGATTTGCTGATGCAGCTTGGACACAGCCCACTATTCACATTATCGCCCAAGGTGCCAGGAAAGGCGTATTTGAAGGCGGCGCTGTTTGACAGTGTGTCAAAGCCTGAATCGGTGTTTTTCGGCGACAAGCGGGACGAGTGGGTGGCCATTAACACGGCATAGTATACAGCGATACACATTGTTGGGTTGGGTGGAGCATTAGCGGAGTTGGAGTCCGGGGTTGAATGAGGGGTTGATTTAGGTGATGATCCGGGGGATTGTCTGAAATTCCGAGTTTAGTCGTCCTTGCTCCTCGTCGTGAAATTATATCTCGATCCATATAATCTAGGCAGAATGTCCCCAAAATCATTACGTCATATCCACTGGCAGGTCAATTCGCGAATGAGATTGTTCAATCGGCGATTCCTTCAGAGCAGCAAACTTGGAAGAGCAACAAGCTCTGCCACTGCCGAGTATCCGAACCCAATCAGATAAGCGCCGGCCGGGGAAGCAGGGGAGTCGCCGACCAACAAACCAAGGAACCTGCCAGCCAGCTGTGACGCCTCTTCACCGCATCGACCCTTTCCCTTTCCCATCCTTTTCCCCCCAGAAACAGCAACAGCAGCATGTCGCACAGCTTCCTGTGCGAAAGCTAGGAAGCTTAGTATACATCATGGTTGATCGCCAGGACAATCACTCTGCACCGGACAAGGCGATCGCTGCAGCGACCGGTCGCGAGGAGATTCTCACCCCACCAGCTGCCTGCCACACAGCTCAACGACCTCATCGCGATGATGACGACGCCAGAAGCACAGATAACGACCTGGATGCCCTCGAACTCCGCAATATAGCCACTCAAGATGACGACGAGGCCGGCTTCTCAACCGAATCGATCTCCTCGGGCGAATATCGTATCCGCACACATCGGACCGTTTCCCGCACCACTCATTCCAACCGGGAGCACACAAGCAAGGGGCTGGCGGGACATATTCGTCGCTTTTGGACACGAAATGTGGTGTTGACAGTGCCGCAGAAGAGTAATCGGGACCATTTCGGTGAGTGGGCACCTCGCTTTCTGATATATACTTCGCATATTACTCCATCCGACGCATACATTCAATACTATTGATGCCACTAAAATGGCGCAATCGCACGTGGCTATGGCGCCAGATAATCACGAGCTCATCCATTCACCAACAATAACGCAGAAGGAATGCAAGGCTGTTGCTGACATCTCACACTATCCATTTAGCTTTAGAGCGAACTTTCTTAGCTTACATTCGTACTTCGGTCATGGTCGCCATGCAAGGTGTATTGATCGCCCAATTATTTCGACTCCAGCATTTAGCTTCGCCGGATACAGCACTGGGGTTCTATGAAGCGGGGATTCCCCTGGCGGTTAGCTGCTATGGCGTGGCGATTTTGATAGCTGCCATGGGTGCGTATCGCTTCTGGAAGCAGCAGAATGTGGTGGCTTTGGGGACTGTGTATGCGGGGGGGTGGGAGTTGAACTGTATCGGGGTGTTGATTGGGTTGGTGAGTTTGACTCGCTGCGTTTGAGTGGGATGGTGTTACTAACAACAGTAGATTATTTTGACGACGTTTATACTATCTCTGGTTATTACCGTTGAGTTAAAACATGAGGAAAGTTAGCCATTCTGGCTGCAGCTGATGATGACATGCCTTACGCTATTGTCTTGATGATATACGGCCAATCCACTGAGCGGATATAGCAAATCGTCATAGTTAGACAAATCATCGAATATACTATGTTGATACCTAAGAGCACTACGCGATGCAGAAGATACTTTGAAAGTCCAATACTAGTGCGCCAAAGTACTAGTACTAGTAGGGGGTGTTGACATTTTTATACTTACCATGAAGGATGCCAAAATATATATCTGTCACGTCGAACAATTAGTAACACCGAGACCAATCCATAATTACCATGTCCTAGCAGTCCTTTTTCATAACAGAGATTGCTTCTCTATACTACGTCGGAGATGTGATTATAATTTCGAGAGTGGTGAATGACGAACCATAACTGTATACAAAACTCGAGCTGGATCAGAAACTCTATCAGCGACCGTCATGGAAGTAAATGCTGGCCGGACATAGAGCCAATGAATCAAAACATCCCCAAGCAATGGCCGGATGGTGTAGTTGGTTATCACGTATCGTTAACACCGATAAGGTCCTGGGATCGAGCCCCAGTCTGGTCATTCTTTTTTGCTGTTTTTCCTTTGAACAGCCCCACTTTTTCTTGAGTCCGATCTACACCGAAGCCGAAGCCGATTCCGTCTCAAGCATACCCACCAGCCATCTACCATCTATGTTTGCCAACACCGTTCCAAAATAACCATATAGCTGTTCCCATTCGGGGCTCACAGTTACTCCGATCTATTCTATGCCCGCTCTCAGGCGGAAGAATGGCCGAGAGCCAGCTTGTGAGGCATGCCGCCGACGCAAACTGGCCTGCGACCACGAAACCCCCGCCTGCCAGCGGTGTCGGAGACTATCCTTGAAATGCGTCTATCTTGCCAATCCACTCACCAAAGGCAGAGCGAGAAGCCTGCCTGAGGCTGACTCGCCGACTGTCTTGAGCAATGAGAGCGAGGGTGTCCCAAGTACCAAAACCTGCCCGGGAGCCCAGTCAACCACGCCCATCCTCGAAAGCTCAGCCGAGTACCTGGGGCCCACGAGTTTTTCATCTGTATTTGTAGAACATCGGGATCGATTCGAAGTGGATCAGACCCTGAAAACGCCCACTGGAGGGGGTATCGATGGTGTCGGGGCGCAATCACCCACCCAGCCGGGGAACCCTACCATCACGCCGAGAATGCTCCAACTGGGGATACAGATCCTACAAAACCTGCCGGATGAACGAACATGTAACTTACTTTTCGTTCATCCGATGGCTTTGATGGATGCCTGTTTCCGACCAGCTTATCGAGTCGCGTCTGATAAGATGTGGGATGAGTATCGAGACGTGCTCCGGCTGCGGAACAGCGAGCACCTACAGTTTGTTGCGAAGCGGTTTTCAGAGTGCAGTCTAACGCCTTTACCGGCTGTACAAGATCCACACCGCTGGATCGAGTCTTTCTCGGGAAAGAGAACTCGTTGGGAGCTTCTAGGATCCTTGTTCACTTTTTGGTCGTCTGCAGCCTCACAGTTGCCGGTACAGCACGATATCATCACCCAGTACTGTCAGCAACATGCGTTCAAGAGACCCAAAGACCTTATGGTGCATCTGAAACGGTGTGCGTCCATGTGCATTGAGCTGTGTAGTCAGCTGGGTGCAATTAATATTCTTTTTGTCAATTTGGCGTTCAAACATAACATCCTCGAGAGCATTGCCAGTGGTGATAAGAGTAAGTCCTAACCCGGAGATATCCAAGCATAGCACATAGCACTGATCAACAGGCCTTTCTTGCTGGCGCCAACATGGCGATGTAATTGCAGTCACGACATCAATCGGGCTTCACCGGGAATTATCATCTAATTGGAACGAGGTTTCATTCCAGCACGAACTCAAGCGACGAGTCTACGCATCGATTTACAATTTCGACAAGGTCATCTCCACATTTACCGGCAGACCACCGCTCCTGAACAGAAAGTACTCGACGACCAAGCTGCCGCTGGACATTGACGACGAGGATATATTCTCCGGCAGAATTGGCGATGCCGTGGCAAAGCTCAACTCAAATGGTTGGGACAGCAGCGAAGACCGACAGCCGTATCCTGCCACCATCTTGCGGGCGCGAGCAATGCTAGCAAGGAACCGCGAAGAGATGCTAGAAGTTTTAGAGACTTCGCAGGATAGCATCACAGATGCTGCAGTTCAAACATGCCTGTATGACTTCAGCCCAATCTGTATCCCTCGCACTTGCAACTGCTGACAAGCAAACAGCCACCTCAAAGCACAAGCTACAGACATCTACGCACAATTCCCCGAAGTCATCAAGTTTAAAGCAGAACACGTCCACGACCGCGACATGCCCGGCCAGCTGCTCGCTTTGCGTGTCCTTGTGCGCTTGGATTTTCTGCTCAACCTGTTCATCTTAGAGCGACTACTGACCCGACACAGGGTGGTTGACGAGCAGGCGCTAATCCAGGTTAGCCATGAAATGGTAGGATTAACCTTGATATACTGGAAGCACAAGGACCGGTTCGAGAATCACGTTGATTTTTCCTGGCTGGTATGACTCACAGCCCCCTTTAAATAGATACACCTCATCAATACTGACGCGACATGCTCAGGCTATGTCCTACGCCGTCCCAGGCAGCGGTATTCTCTGCCTTGAGCTGCTCCGCCAATCGAGCTCTCCCGAAACGTACACCTTAGAACTTCCCCGATCGGACATCATCCAGGACCTCAGTGTACTGGTCGCCTTCCTCGACTGGCTCCGCCCCTCGGAATCCGACATCGCAGCCAAGGCGCAAATCAAGGGAATATTGCAACGCTCATTGGACCGAATTCTCAGCATGCCGGCATCGCTGCACAGTCCGACGAGAGCCCTGGACGCGCTGCCCGACTTTGTAGGCGCAGATCCCCATCTCGACTTGTTAAACACATTCGCGTGGGTAGATTGGGATGCCGCATTATAGCCATATTCAGCTCTATACCTACTATACATCTATAATCTAGTATAATCTAGCATGCTAATGATACCAAACCCAACGCTATGCAACCCAAAACCAAAATCAAACATCCCAACCTCCCAGCCCCAAAAACGGACTCATCATGCGCACCCCATCCGCATACAACTGGACCAAAATCGGATAAATCCACACCGGCAAAGTCCAGAGCATAAAGACCGCAACCCAAACAAACCCGACTCCCCTCCTAACCCCCCTCGACAAGAACACACTCACCGGAGCCAACAACCTCTCAGCAAGCATCTCCCCGGCTACACCCAGAATCTGCAACGCGAAGAACCACAACGCCCCACTCTCATCAATCCGCACCCCGAACCCGACATCCATACCCGTATGCACTAATCCCGAAACAAGGAACGCGAAAATAACTCGAAAGCACCACTGGAATCGGACCGGAAGGCGCAGGATAGAGCCCGAGACGAAATCCGCGTTCGAGCAAAGGAGTTGGCGGAGGGTTTGGTGCCATGTTTTCCTGTAGTATCACATACTTCATTAGTACAAGAACTGCAATTATGAATGGGAGGAAGATGTATGCATACCCCCAGAACCTCCTAATCGACCACGCATCCAGCAATCCACCCCCAACAGGCGGCCACATACTCGGCTCCTGGCCCAATGCTACAGCCACCACCGCGGCAGCGGTATACCCCGTGACGATGAATGCGCGCGCCACGATCCCAAAGGAGAGAGTGAAGAGGAACCGGAGGAAAAGATCATCTTTCCCCCAGCCAACGTGATACCAGGGCGGGAGGAGGATTTCGTCCGGCCGAACCGGTAATTTATCCACTGCGCGGCCGAGATGCGGATCGGTGGTCTCGAGGGTGAATAGTTGGATGATTGCGATGGAGATGGTGAGTTTGAGGAGGGAGGTGAGGAGGAATTGTGTCCGAGTGGGGGTTTTGTTGAATGTGGTGAGGGCGTGGATTTGCCAGGGGGTGTTGATGCGGCGGTAGTTGAATGAGAGGTTCAGGGACCAGAGATATTTATCTATGAGCGATTTCGTTTGTGGTTCATGTGGTGATTTGTCTTCGGAGGTTTTCTGTTTGGTGTTGTATGCTAGTTGTTTATCGTAGTCCGCGCGCGTGAGAACCAGTAAATCTATCCCGTTGAGAACATTCATCCAGCACATTGCGACGAGCGGAGCGCCGAAGCGGGTGCCGTGGAGGTGGGCATTTGCGCTAATTTGCATGCAGTAGGCGAGGATGAGTACGACGAGGGAGGCGATTGATCGGAGGGGAGAGTTAGCGGGAGTGAAGGCGACAGTGGTGCCGGTTAGGAGTTGGATAGCGAGGAATTGGGCCGGGGGGATCCATTGTGGCATTTTTTTTTCTGGTTTTCTGATTTTCTTCTGGAGAGGAAAAGACGGGAAGATAAAAGAACGCAGGCGTGGGGGCTGGGAGACATTATTATAAGCTGGGGGGATTGTGGGTTTGGAATGCGGCTGAGATTGAACTGCAGAGCTGGATTGCCCGATTGGGATAGGGTGAGGGGATTGATTGGGCGGAGCGGGTCGGATGGGTGAGACTGATCGGCGACTAGCGATGCCCGTGCAGCAATTGGCGATTGAGATCGAGCTGCGTGGGTCAATGATAGTCTACACTCTGGTAGTGCTGGTAGTGCTGGTATTGTGTGTAAATAAGTGAGATCTACAATGGAGGAGTCATAGAATAGATAAATGTACAATGTATGACGTATTCTAAGTAGTACAGTGAAGTGTAGTGTAATAGACACTTATTATATACAAAACCCATATCTGTTGCACGTGACACAAGGCATCCAGTCTGTCCAGGGATGATAGAAAATAAAGTAATACAGTAAGAAAGTATGTCGATGAAAGAAGATGACAGAGCAAGGATGCCATTGGCGAGGTCCAGCCGCAGCCCGTCACGAGCTACACAAGGAATGCTGCAAGCTTCGCCGTGTCAGCTAACCAGCCCGCTCTGCAGTGGTCCCGCTCCGTACAACGGCCAGCGGCGCCGGCCAAACACCACGCGAGGAACTCTCTTCAGACTCTTCATGCCGCCGCCGCTGCCGCTGCTGCTGCTGGCAGAGCCTGCCTTGTCTGCATTTGATGACACCCGCGTCAGCCCACTCAGGTGCTCGTTCTGTTGGCTATCGGCGGCACGACGCTTGACCATAGCCCGCACAGCATTGGTGATCTGAACACGGATGAGAGGAACAGCCGTTGCCTCATTGGGTGTAGAGTGATAGGAGGTGGTAAAGTCATCATCGTCTTCTTCATCGAGGTGGAAAGATGCCATGCGCCGACGCACGTCTTGCTGGGCGGCTTCAATGGAGCGGTTGAGGAGAGTGTGGTGAGCAAGGCATCGGCGCAGATCAGGGCTTTTTGTAGAGGCTTCCTTGTGAAGCTTGTCGCGGGAGAGAGCAGCCATGCGACAGGGAAAGGGCGAGACGGAGCGACGAGCCATGGGGGGAATGCGGCTGTTGGTGCGGGTGGCCTGACGCATCAGGTGAGGAGGAAGTTCAATACCGGCCATTGTGGTTGACGTTGTGAAGAGTAAATGTCAAAAAGGTGATTAATGTAGAGGAGTGCTGGTGATAATGGCACTAGGAGGTAGTCGGTGTAATTTGTAGTCGTCGTGTTATTGCATCGAGAATATGGATGTAGTATGCGAATTTGATTTTTCTGGTTATAATCTGACTTCAAGGTCAGGGGCAGGATCAGGGCAATCTTTATAATTCTTCCCCTGGACCAGCAACTCGTGAATTTTGAAGATAGCTCGCACTTGCATACTCTGCTCAGGGCTGGTGGAGTCTAGGCCATTGCCACTGGCGGCCGAGTCCGACACCCACTCATCCATCGGCCGTGAAGAAAGTAAGGTCTCGAGAGCTGTCAAAAGTGCAATCAGTGCAATCAGGTGCGTCTAGCCAGCGCCGACTCTTGGCGGGCACCGGCCGAACCCCAGACTTGAGAGAGCTTAGGCCAACGGTGTCGCCGGCCGGTGGCGAGCAAAGTTTGGTCTTTGCGTCATTGACTTGGAATTCCGGCCGCTAATGGGTTGAACTCGGGCACTGCCTCTCGAGACTGGGTTGGAAAATGCTGCAGTCTCCTTCATCATTGGGTAATGTAAGACCGAGTAAAGCCTATTATTCATGTACTATTGGACTAACCTGCTACCCCGGGTGTTTTGTCCCAATAGGGCAGGTCAATGTAAAGCCTAGATGTTGTTGCCTCAACTGTCATATGGTATATCCTACTAGATCTGTCAGGGAAATTTTATGCAGGTATTGAATGACAAATATGCTCGTATCCAAGCCTTATGTGCTTGTCATAGACGAACGGCATGCCGCAGAACGTTGAGGAATGTGAAGTTGATCTAGCAGCAGCCCAGGCCTCTCTTCGATCTCGATCGGGTGGATAAGTGAATACCCCAGATCAGCGTAATCTTCAGCGGAGTCTAAGAACTGGGATCACCATTATCTCCAATATGAGGCTCATATCTCCAACTGATATCAACACCAGACTCTATTGAGTATAGTATAGTCATGACCAGCGACGATCACCTTCACATTCCCACATGGCCCAGCAGGTACCGGGGGGTTATAGATTATCTAATTCCCCCCCGACGGCAGAATCCCCAAAATCCACCCATCAGCATTGAGAACCAAGCGTCTTTGTTCCCATCAGCGCGTGCACGTCCTTCGGCGACGCCGAAACGCCTTTGAAGACGAGTCAAGATAAACTCTATCACCTTCCACAAGCGGTAATCGCTCTCTGCGTTGAATCAGGACCTCCTCGTTGATCTGAGAGCCGCAAGCCCATTTGGTCGGTATACTCCGGTCAGCCCTAATCTGTGCAGATCACAGCTACAAGAACCCTCACATAGGGCCCTCGGAAAGTCCCCGTGCAGAACCACTCGCTCCACCAAGATTAAGAAAAAGTCCAAGATATTAGATATTACTACCAGTATATCGAGATATGAGATCGATCGAGGCTCTAAAACGGAAAAAAGATCTAAAGCAAAACTCCACTTACACCTACCACCACGACCATCCACAGTGCCCCCATCCACATGTCCATCCCACGTCCTCCTCCAACCCTCACACTGGCCGCACCATTCTCCTCCGACAACGAGGCGCGCGACGTACTAGCATTCGACACATTCGACATGGCCGTGCCCACCCACGCATTCCAGTTCGTCAACTTATCCGGACACTGCGTCGTAATCTTCTCTCCAATCATCTGCGCCACGAACTTCCCATTCCTACTCAACGTAACCACCACCTCACCCGTGCGATTATCCATCGGCACACTCCCAAAATACAACCCCCTCCCACCACCACTACTCCCACCACTAGGCGTATCCGTCCAACCCACGGACTTATTTTCCCCACCACCAATACTCACCTCCACATCTGCAGTATCCTCCAACAACGCCTGGAAGAATACTTCATCCTTCAGCACCTGCCCCGGTGGCATCGTTTGCTGGCCTTGCGTGACCGAATTCCCCGTAGTCAAGCCCGCCTTACATGCCCACGCCGGCGTAACCCTATACCAAACCACCACCCCTTCCTTATCAATCACCCCCTTCCCACTTCCATTCTTGTATTCACCCACCACATACGGAAGAAACTCCCTCCACGCGTCATGCACCATCCCCGACGCGTAGTTGAACGGCGCCTGCCCGAACGAAAATATTCCTAGCTCGTTCTCATGCAAGGGCCCGATGTAATGCGATTCGCCGAAGTCGTTCCACGTAAGAATCTCCACGAACTGCGGTTGCAGGTCGAGCACCTGCTTCCACCGCGTATGCCACAGCCCATCGCCCTGCCATACCCAGTTCTTGTGGTACCGTACCATGTCGGTGTAGAACCATGGACTGACGGGCATGATGTACGGTTTGTCCTTGGCTTTCAGGGCGGAGATGTACTGCTCGTCTGTGGACGTGTTCATCGGCGTGGTCCCGTACGGCCAGGCGCTCCAGGAGAGTAACCCGTCCACAGCGTCTTCGCTGGCTAGTTCCTGGGGGGTTCGTACAGACCATTCGGGCATGAAATAGATATTAGGCAGTTTCTCTTTGATGGTGGACCAGTCGGCCAGGGCTTCGTAGCCCTCGAAGGTGGAGACCAGTGGGTGCTTGTTGTCGACTCGGTAGTAGGCTGTGTGGTTGGCGTAGCCTTGCAGGACTTTCAGGACTTGGTCTGGTGGCCAGTGCCCGTCGCCGGAGTAGTCGAGGGACAGGAAGAGTTTGAAGTCGTGTGCTGCCGCGACGGTGAAGGCGTCTGTGAGCAGTTGGTCGGTGTTGGCGGCGCCATAGCCGGTGTTCAGGGCAAAGGCGTCGATTTGGGCTGCTTTGGCAGCGCTTATGTCGCGCGTCCAGTGGGTCTGGGTGAAGTTTTCGGCGTTGGCGAGCTGGGCGTAGGGTTAGTGGGTGATGTTTGGTAGGGTGTGGGTGAGGGGGGAAACGGACGATGAAGTGCGCAAAGACGTCTTTGGCTTGCACGTGGATGCTCAGCGCCACGAGGACGAGGGCGAGCCAGATGATGTTGGCCATGTTGCCTGGATGGCTATCTGGCTGGCTGGCTGGGACGAGGGTACAAAGTCCTTTTCTTTTCTATATACGTCCTGCGACCTAAGTCATGGTCGAGGAAGGGGGAAACGAGCGATACATAAGTAGTCGGGTAGAATTGACATAGTAAGTAAGTGGGTTGCCCCGGAAATTTTACTTCAATGCATTGTGATAGTCAGGAGATAAAAAGTGAGCTATGTGAACTGTAACTGAGAAAAGCAGTAGCCTAGTGAACGCGCAGCATGCAGTGCGTGAACACAGTTGTCAAAGCAGACAGGGAAGAGGAAGTAGTTGATGAGAGGAGAAGAAGAAAGAAGAAGGAGGGGATTATCGTCCCGAGTGGACTCCATTGCGTAGGCTCATCTCGTAGCGGTCAAAGTCACAGAGGCTCGGAGGATTAGGCTTCAATGCTTAGATGAGATGCGCAACAAAACAGAGTTCAATGTTTTCTCGTAAGTGAGGAAAAATCGAGTATGAGTAACCGAGGTTTGTTTTTGTGGAAGGACGAGGCATACGATAGTTGGGCGAGGATGAAGCTTGTTGTCGGCCAGCGTGTAGCGCTTGGTAAGTAGACTGGAAGGAAGGGGTAGTGGAAAAAAAAACACCCCGGATTGACAGGGCCACGGACCGCAGTGGCTGTTGATTATTGATAGTCAGACTCTGACTACTGCATTGTCAATCCGACTATTGATTGTCTCGGATGTGATTCATCAGCTGCTTGCTGTGTGTCTGAGCGACTTTGCGGAACTCAAAACCCTAAAGGGGCCGCGCGCGACGCGGTGAATGCGAACTCTGCCTCTCTATGAACATGACAGGTCGTCTATCAATCAGACTTTCGGATTCGGTTAGCCCTGATTATAGCCAGTGGTCCCCGATTATCTTCAGTGAGTGACCGATATCGGGGAACTGTCTTGAACGTTGTAAGATTCAACAACGTTGTTAGACGATCCGGAGATCGCTCGGCGCCGCGCCACCGGGAATGCGAAGTGTGTCAGGATTGACCTCATCGAGGGCCAAATTTGAAGATTTTTCTTCGGTTCCTTTTGGATTACTATCCATCAAAGCCCACCGTTTTTGTGCACTATCCTCCTGTACAAGCTGTTATTACATTGCAGCCGTTCACCGGAGTTTACTTTTATCGGTGGAGCTCGACTGGTGGGTTCATGCACCGAAGGGCGTCCGGTACTGCGAGGGCGTGGAGCCCACTACGCGGCCTATCAATACTGGCAAATGGTCGCCCGCAGCATGCAGCCAAATAGACTCTACGTAAGGGAGGAGGGGTTCGTTCGATGCAGCCGGAATAGACAGCTGCATTGACGCACCCGGGCACGAGCTCGTTGGACATGCTGGCGATTGCTGCCGACTTTGCCAGCCAAACCCACCAGCTACTTTTCCTTGATTCATCCCCGCTTACCGCTGTCAGCTTTCCAGAGTAAGGGGACCGCCTGTTGAGGATGACTTGGCACTGACAGATTTCACAAAAGTAGCTACTAATACTGGGCAGAACAAGGATAATGGCTGATGAAGGTTTTGGAGAGGAGCTGACGTATCACAGGCAGACTGACAATAAAGTGGTAAAGTACACCGCGCACGAATGACTGGTTCAACAGACCGCATGTGTTTTCCCCGACTTCCCCTGAAGCGAATGCTGCTCGTTTCCATACACCGGATGACCTTGTGGACCGCGCGTAGCATGTGTCTGGATGTATCTGCTGGGTGTCAGTTTATGCCCGGTCGCCTCCAGAGACAGAATAAGATAAATCACGTACGTGCTGTACCGCTTGACCATGGTTTCGTCCATATCCTCTAGCGTCTTCAGGCCCAGTCGGATGTCCTCCACGAGCAGGTTACACCGGTGCAAGCTGAAGTCCTCGCGCAGCACGATCCGCATCATCCTCAGTTGATTACACTTCGGGGCCATGGTATACGCCGGAATCACCCATCCCCGGCGACGCAGCACATGGGCCAGAGCGAATTCGTCGTACAGCCGACCCTCTTGTTCGGGTAATCGGAATGCAACTAGAGGAAGACCCCGACCTCCACCCTCGCTCATGATAATAAAGCCGAGTTTCTCCAACTCCGCTGCTAGATGGTCGGCAGTCTGCGTGAGGTTTGTCATGATCGATCGGAAGCCATGCTTGCCTAGCCGGATCAGTTGGTAGTATTGCCCGATGACGTGGGGGGCGCCTTTGGAAAAGTTCAACGTGAAGCTGGCCTGCTCGGCGCCCAGATAATTGATGTTGAAAATGAGCTCTTTGGGAAGGTATTCGGGGGCGCGCCAGAAAACCCAACCAACGCCGGGATAGACCTGTCACGATCAGTCTGTGTCCGCATTCGGCGAGGTGTACTGGTTTATGATGTATCTCACCAGTCCGTATTTATGTCCTGAGACATTTATGGAGATGACTTTTTCCAGGCGGAAGTCCCACTCCAGCTCTGGTTTCACAAAGGGCACCACAAACCCGCCACTAGCCGCATCCACATGTATTGGGCAGTCGATATTCTTCGCTATCAGCAGGTCGTTGATCGCCTTGACATCCTCATACTGCCCTGTGTACGTTGTCCCTAGGATTGCACAGATTCCCACCGTGTTTTCATCTACCAGATCCACCGCCTCCTTGGGGTCAATGACATATCGGGTCTCCGTGCAATAGACATATCTCTCCTCGACCTCGAAATACCGCGCTGCTTTCTCCCAGCATACCTGTACCGCACTATTCATGATGATGTTCGGACGCGACCAGTCCTTCCCAGCTTCTTTCCGCTTGTTCTGCCAGCGTTTCTTCATGGCCAGCATGGCCAGCATGATCGCTTCTGAGGATCCGACCGTCGAAGTGCCGATGGCGTCTTGCTCGTTGCTTGGGTCATTGATACTAGGTGCATGGAACAGACCGGCGATCATATTGACACAGCGGTTCTGCATATGCGCAGTCTGTGGATACTGTTCGTAGTCGATGAAGTTCTTGCTCATGGCGTCGGACATGAGCTGTTGCACTTCATCTTCCTGTGATGGTGTTAGCGGGAGTGTTGGGTTAATTTTTTCGAAAACAGTCTTACCATATAGGTAGTGACAAAGCTTGCTAAACTAGTACATGTTACTATTGACGGCTCAAAGAGCAGAAAGAGAAGCGAGGTATTACTTGAGCAGGGGATTCCCATCCAAGCTCAACTCATCCTTGATCATGCGATATGCCACCGGGGCTGGCATCTCATTCTCCGACATGCTATGCTCCGGCAGCTCTTGGACTGCATAGCGCGTCCCGTACACGTAAGGTGACACTGCGGCTGCCTGCGCATCGCGTTCTTCGCGCTGACGCTGATGGGCGTGGGACTCTTTACGGACGGTCGACAGGTGGACCATTCTGACGGCGTTTCAGGGAATAACAATGCCAAACACGAGGTTGAATTAGATTTTGCTATTATTGGCAGGGCCTATCCTGCCCGAAAATGAGGGCGACGTGGCCGTCGACTTATATGAGGGACTGTGGTTGCACCGAAACTTTGTGTTCGGGATGACCTCACCACATCCGTATCCGGAGCCCCCGGTTGTTCTTAGGCGCAGTGTATCTTAGGTACAACCTAAAGAGAGGCGTCTGGACCAGGAATGTGTTATACAACTGCTATTCCATCTCCTCATCTCGTGTCGGTCCTCCGTAGATGCCTGTCTCACGGAGAACAGGCTTAACATGAAAGCTGCTCGGAAATAACGATGTAAAACAAGAGCCATGACGCCGTCCGCTCACTAGAGTGTTGTTTACAACTTCATCAAGCTCGTAGCTATGAGAAGGCAGTACCCAGGAATGGACATCTGGCGGACAGCCTAGCCAACAAAGCAAGGCATCGCGTTGATGGCGATCGGCGATGGCGATCGGCGACGGCGGAGTTAGCGGCGGAATTAAGCGGCGGAATCATTGCGTGTGAAGGCCTCAGGCACCAAGGCTGCAGTCTGGCCTTGCTCGAGGCAGTCAATTCCGCCGCAAAGTCCGGCATCGCAAAGGCATAAAAGAGCCGAAATGACATGTTGCTGGGGGTGTCATTTTCGATAGAGACAAAATCTTTTAGCAATTATCATTACTGCAAAATGACCGCTTTCAGCAAACTTCCTGCTCGCTCTCTCGGCAACAATGCCCCACTCATTCCGCGAATCGGCCTCGGACTCATGGGTGCCAGTGGCACTTATGGTCAGCCTCTTCCAGAAACTGAACATCTGAATTTCTTGGACGAGGCATACAAAAGGGGTGAGACCTTCTGGGATACCGGTATGTAGTCGTGGATCCCTTAAGATGGACAGATTCTGACAACCGCAGCGGGCAAATACGATGATTCCGAAAGCGTTCTGGGCAAATGGTTCGCCCAGAACCCCGACAAGCGGAAGGATATCTTCCTAGCCACCAAATTCGGCATTTGCACTAATCCCGAAGCCAAAGATGGCATGAAGAACTGGATGGATTCCAGTCCGGAATACTGTCGGACCGCGATTGAGAAGTCATTGAAGCGCCTCGGACTGCCATATGTGGACCTGTACTACGTCCATCGCTTGGACAAGGTCACCCCTATTGAGAAGACCGTCGAAGCCATGGTCGCGCTCAAGCAGGAGGGCAAGATCAAATACCTGGGGCTGAGCGAGTGCAGTGCGGATTCGCTCCGTCGGGCCCATGCAGTGCACCCCATATCGTGTGTGCAGGTAGAATACAGTGTCTTCTGTAGGGATATCGAGTCCCCTCAGGTGCAATTGCTGCAGACTGCTCGCGAGCTGGGCGTCGCTATCGTTGCGTATAGTCCGCTCGGCAATGGGATCCTCAGCGGAGCGATTCGGTCGCTGGAGGACGTCAGTAAGCCCGGGGATGTCAGAGGCGTGCTTCCCTGGCTTAGAAAAGGGAATATCGAGAAGAATGTGGCTGTGGTGGATCAGCTGACTGAGATCGCTAAGGCGAAGGGTATGACCACGGCACAGCTGGCGCTGGGGTGGTTGTTCGCTCAGGGGGACGATGTCTTTGCGATTCCAGGAACAAGCAAGATTCATCGACTGGAGGAGAACTTGGCCAGTTTGTCTTTCCAATTGTCGGAGGAAGAAGAACAGTCAATTCGGCAGATCGCCCAAAATGTCGCGGGTGGGCGCTTTCAGGCCTTGACTGGTTTTGCCTTTGCCGATACCCCACAACTGTGAGTGGCATATTGGGATATGTCTTGTCCCTGGATAGTGTAAGGATTGTCCAAAAAGAAGCCCGCGTATATATAGTCGTCCCTTTCCAACTCTTTTTCCATGACGGATGTCAAACGTGTTTATTTGATTAGCCTTCGTTGAGGACGTTCGGTTCAAGTGACCAGTCATAAAGCAACTGCATCTCGGCTTGAAGATTAGACGATAGAGCGAGCTGAGAATTCAAGCCACAATCAAACTCCAGTTGTGTAAGTGTCGAAGGGAGAAGGCCTTGTGGTCCTGTTGCCTGTGCGGACCCTGCGAGTAGGCCATCATTTTGCAGATTTGGAACTGGCCCAGGAATAACGCAGATAACTCCAAAGTACGGAATGGAAAACTTCAGGCCTTGGTGAGAAGTACCGCACAGGGCATCATCTGAACCAACACTGTCCTTTTCAATGCATGAAATGTAAATGATACCGTCGGCTGCCTCAGCCTCAATACTCAGGAGTTTGCTCAACAAATTTCTTGTTTGGATCGCAGAGTCTCTATTTGGGTCATTTGACGTGCAGAGTTCGTCCAAGGTGTCAATTGCCTGTTGAATCATGGCCAGGTCTTGAGGCCGTTGATGTTCTAGGACGTTCTCGGAGCCCGACCGGTGTCCCAATATATGAGACAAGAGCAGGGTCACTGCTGCGACGAAGGCTTTATGTTCAAGCCCTCGGTAAGAGAGAATAGGCCGTATATTCCGGAACTCGAGACAGCGACTCAGTACTTCACGGCTTGCAGGGACGACCACATGTCTGCTGTATGAGTAGTCGGGAAGTATAGGTGAGATTGCTGATGGACTGAAATATGTATGGTTACTCAGCTGCAGCAACAAGTACGGTTGATGAAGGAGGATCACGAGATAATATTGGTGCATCTGGGTAACAAGCATGGAGATCCTGTCCATCTTATCCGTATCCAACAAAGTATTGTTCAAGGTAGGGACCTTCCAGCAATCAATAGGCACTGATCGGGCACTCTTCCTTAGTTCATCATTTATGCCGCGAGTCACCCCGTAATGATCATACGTGGTATCCAACTGTCTTTGGGACAACAAATTGTAATGCTGCAGACGCACATTTCGGACGATTATCCGACCTGCGATGACAGAATGGATGCGGTATAATTTTCTAAGAGGTGGGTAGGTATCTAAAGCCTGCCAATTCAGGAGCTCGAGATCCTTCACCGCGCATGGAAGCCCAAGCATTAGTGACAAGAACCGATCATTATATACAAGCTGAACCCAAAGGGATTCCGCGCGGCTGCCGGCTTGTTCATTCCGGCTTGGAAGTCCGATCAGTTGAGCGATGCTCAAAGCACGACGGAAAATAAGCCAGGCCGAGCGCAGCTCCCCAGAGTTAAGGTGATAGCGGGCCTGCAGTAAGAGAGTGTCAAGACCATCGAGAGAATCTACGAGCGCGTCCTGTGATGTTACATGACTAACTGCCAGATCGACGTAGCGCCGGGCAGAGTCGCCTGTGGACCACTTTTGCTCTAGCTGCAGTTGTGGGTGTAGACATGAGGCGAGGTCCAGCTGCTGTAAACCGAGTGCAAGTTGTATGAGTTTCTGAGCAAATTGGATTGGATGGGAAGTAGAATATGGTAGCCTGAAGACATCTCCAGACTGTGCTAGGCCAGAGCAGACAGCCGATTGGTCTCGGAGTGGGGATCGACAAGTCTCGAAAGGCAGACTGAAGAAGCGACCCTTGGTCAAGATGAGTGCGGTCGTGTTCGGATGAGGGAATAACGCCGCCAGAGACTTGCACAGCTGCTGAAAGGGGAATGATATAGATGCTTCTCTCGGCCGAGGGGAACTCGCTCGGTCGCGAACCCCGATCACAGGCTGGACCTGAGGCTGACAGCTGTCACGCTGCCGAATCAATTGGTTGACCAGAGATTCGACGTGGCAAATCCGCTCCGATATCTGGCCATCGCTACTGTGGCTTCGTGGATCGGCATGTTCCTGGCTGACGCAGGGGATACCTCGAGACTGGCAATAGACACAAGTGGAGTCCTTGAGGGGCTCGAACACGCAGCGTCGCTTCCGATGCTTGCACTCCCAACAGGAGAAGGTGCCCTTGCGGATTTTACGTCGCTTGGACACCGAGGGCGAGTGCCCTGATGCCGGCGATGAGGCGGTGGGCATTTCCGGGAACGGGGTTGATACAGGAAGATAATAGTAGATTGGATTAGGGGACGAAGTGTCTGTCAGAGAATGGTGGGGAGAATTGGTTGCCATGCGATCGGCCCGATCACCGGCGCTAAGCGCAAAAGTCAGACCTCGAGTGAGTCTGACAGGATAGACATGAAATGAACGACAAAAGAATGTGCTGTATTTCTCTATTTTCCAGGTTGTGTATGATTAATTTGCATGTATTGCTACATAAATTGCCATGCTTTCATCATAAATATCCTCCCAGTTGATTCCTTGGCACCCTAATCGAAGTCGAGAATCTCGACGCTCAAGCCTGGGGGAACATGCACATTTTTCAGTTCATCCACATCTACATCGTCAGGCGCCTCGACCCTGCTATCATCAGCTATGCCCCAGCAAGAATAAGGTTGATGTGACGCACGACATGAAGTGAATGGGTGGGGTGGTCAATGTGGAGTCGAAACACTGGGGGAACTCCAGGTGTTTGTCTTTATAGACGTCCTGGAGCCTATAGAGTCACGTTTAGCTATCACTGCGCAGGCAAATCATATCGCCTAACATCTCATCTTACCGCTTAGTGAGCTTGTCCCCATCCCCGTAGTACTCATGAGCGAGCTCGTTGTCGTAGCGGATATCAAAAGTCTCGGAGTGCGCCAGTCTTGTTAGCATGAATTCGTTGGCACAGCAAAGTCCGTCCTACTTACCAGGCCTTTAGTCATTTTGCTTCACGGAATACTAATAGTTGACCATATAGATGGATGGAGACTTAGGGACTTCGACTGCCTGGATGATTCTTTGCTCTTATATTTCCCTGCTTTGGGCTTTCGACGTCGAGAACATGTCCTAGACTAGATCCAGATTTCCTAGCTTCCTCTATAGTCGCTTCGATTGGCACTGACGGGCTCTTCGCGTGTGGGCATGAGGTCACTGATACCTCATGAACTTTGCTGAGCGCGTCCATGATCAGGATGGCCGCAGTAAAGTTTGAAGACCCATGGGTGGGAGTCACCGGGAAGTTGTGACAATGCCAATGACTGGAACTTCGCGGAAATGACAGGCTGTTCTTTCATTCTCTTTGTTATCTTCCGACATATTCAGCTATGGAGACCCTGTCCTTGGAATAAATCTGCGCCTTTAGTGGATGCAGTGAGGAAGTTACTTTCTTAGTTGTTGCCTCCCGCATGAGCGTCGGTCCAGATCCCTTGATCTAGCAAACTATCACAAGACCGCACGGGAAAAAAAGTTAACTCTGGATAAGCTATGGTGATATGAAAATAAGTGGAATGGCACTTCTGTGTATTCAGTTTCATGACGCAGTAATCCGTTCCTATCGAGGCCTCAAATAGCTCATCGTTCGCATCGGTTTTGGTCATTCCTACGGTCGGAAGCCCCGTATCCATGCCCGATAAATCAAGACAAAAAAACAGAAGTAAAAAAAAAAAAAAAAGAAAAGAAAAAGGAGTGAGAGGAGTGAAGAGGGGGCGGGTAGGTGCCACTATATGGTGCTTGGGCGACATTCGTGTTGTAGATAAACCATGCCGTTTGCGGCATTCGTGTCAATGATGGCAACCTTAACTCTATATACTAACGCACCATTGCGCTTCTGATCATGGGTAAGGTTTCCTTTGCAAACTTACCTAATAAGCAAATAAAATAAGCCAGTTACAAGAATTGAGATGGAAGCTAGATAATCCAAGATGTGGCCCTGGCTTTCCGACCCAAGGCAGCTTACAGATGGTTCCACTGCCATTGCCTTTTAAGGTCAATAGAGGGCGCATTGTAGTTGTACTCGGCTCATACTCTGCCATCCGGTATGTTCATGATCTGAGGGAGGAAAGAATTTTATTGACTTGCCGGTCTGGAGTTCTGGTTTAGTGGTCATTCTGTCCTGACGAGGCCAGGGAACAGCGGATAAATGCCAGTCCGGCTATTGTTCCCCTCCATTTGTTGATGCCGCCCCCCACGGAATGCTCTATTCGTCTCCATTGATCACGCCTTTTCTGGGAGGGGGATGCATGAGGAAGCCAATAATAACGGCATCTTGACTTGGAAAACCCTGTAGGTTAATGATTATCAAGCCCATATTAAAGTGTTGCAGAACCAATCGCCAATCCCCTTCTCTCCGGCGGCCCCATAGTAAAAGCCCAAGCGCAGTATTCGGCATACCTACTTGGTATGTTGTCCCAGCATTCCCGACCACCGGCATGTCCCCCCACAAGATTGCTTACAATTGCTTATATTCCGTGCTTATATTCTGTGAAGGGAGGGCCGAGGGGCCGCCGGGGAAACCTCGGGCCTTTTCCTTTTTCTGCCTTCCCGATCGGGCATCATGGCCAACTCCGGACTGCATTCCGACTCTTTTCCTTGTATTTCTAGTAGTTTAGTCTCTGGTTAGTGGTGATGCAGTAATACTCAGTAGTGAGGTAGGGCCTGTGGGATGACGCATAGTCTGTTGGGACTTGGGGAAGGGTTTTCGTTCCCCTCATCTTCTTCACCCCAACTTTTCCCCAATATTATTATTAATATTCTCGTGCATCATGCATCTCCCACGTGATCTGGGCATATTAATCCGGGGTTGACAGCATCACTTAACAATGCGGCTCTTTGGACAAATCTACCACACACAGTCATCCTCCTTTGCCATTCTCACGTAGCTTCCATTCTCACGGGAACATTCTGCCCTCCCTCCCGGATTCTTCGGAACGAGAGACGGGTATTTGCCGGGCACATCGTGGGGGTTCCTGCCAAGCCCTAGCGGGGTCGGACCGCATTGGCATTCAACTCAACCCGGTCACCTCGAGAGATGTATTGCGACTTTGAGAGTCATGCCAGGCGACCCGACTCGTCGGCCACCTTCATTCCGGCCGACAGAATCCATTACCTCTACGTCATTACCCACGGGGTTCCTCCGACAACTGGGGCTGCTAGCTCCCACAGGGTAGAAAATGAGAGGATCCTCATCACCAGGAATGGCACCATTACTGTCTGAGCGTTATTTTCCCTTTCCCTCCACCGGCAAAACTTCGGCAAAGGCCTAAGGTGACCGATGGAGTAAGGCAAACGAAGTCATCTTCCTCCGACTGGGCAGAAACGGCCCGTGGAAACCTTGCGATTGGCATCGCTTCTCGGCTGTGGAGTCCCAGCTCGGCACGAGGCCGACCCCGGCTTTTTAGCCCTCATTCAACCCGGCATTGCGGGCCTCCGCATTCTCCACTCCAGCAGAACCCGGGAATGCGCCGTAACCGGCCAGGGTTTGTGATGTATATAAGGGTGCAAGTGTCGGGGGTAGACGATGAGGGATAGGAGCACTCAACCAGCAACTTCACGAGTCCGGCTCATACAACACCATGAAGGTCCCGGCCGACCACGCCTTGCTGCTGTCCAGCCTGCTGCTGGCCCCCTCCGTGGGTGCCAGTACTTGTCAGGAACCTATAAACCACCCAGGCGAGCCATTCAGCTTCGTTCAGCCCCTCAACACCTCTATCCTCACCCCTTATGGCGGCTCCCCGCCGGTATTCCCTTCTCGTAAGTACACCATGCCTGCGTGGACAACCATACCCATCATGCTTACTTTGTCGCAGCTGAAACCAAGGGCAAGGGCGGCTGGGAAAAGGCCATGGCCCAGGCCAAGAACTGGGTATCGCAGCTCACAGTCGAGGAGAAGGCCTGGATGGCCACAGGTCAGCCGGGCCCTTGTGTGGGCAACATTCTGCCCATCCCCCGCCTCAACTTCACTGGTCTCTGTCTGCAGAACGGTCCCCAGTGCATCCAGCAGGGTGACTACTCGAGCGTCTTCGTCAGTGGTGTGTCCGCCGCTGCCAGTTGGGATCGCAAGCTCCTCTACGACCGAGGCTATGCCATGGCTACAGAGCACAAGGGCAAGGGCACCCACGTCGTCCTCGGTCCCATCGGTGGTCCTCTCGGCCGTAGTCCCTATGACGGACGTACCTGGGAAGGCTTCGCAGCCGATCCTTACCTGACCGGTGTTTGCATGGAGGAGACCATTCTCGGTATCCAGGACGCCGGTGTGCAAGCCAATGCAAAGCACTTTATTGCCAACGAGCAAGAGACGCAGCGTAACCCTACCTACGCTCCGGATGCCAACGCCACAACCTATATCCAGGACTCAGTCTCCTCCAACCTCGATGACCGCACCCTTCACGAGATCTACATGTGGCCCTTCGCCAACGCCGCCCGCGCTCGCGTCGCCAGCTTCATGTGCTCCTACAACCGTGTCAACGGCTCCCACTCCTGCCAGAACTCCTACCTCCTTAACCACCTCCTCAAGACCGAGTTGGGCTTCCAAGGCTACGTCATGTCCGATTGGGGTGCCACTCACAGCGGTGTCGCCTCCGCTGAGAGCGGCATGGACATGACCATGCCCGGTGGCTTCACTGTCTACGGCGAGCTCTGGACCGAGGGATCCTACTTCGGCAAGAACCTCACCGAAGCCATCAACAACGGCACCATCACCACCGACCGCATCGACGACATGATCGTGCGCATCATGACCCCTTACTTCTGGCTCGGCCAGGATAAGAACTACCCCAGCGTCGACGCCTCCGTCGGTCCCTTGAACGTCGACTCTCCCCCCGACACCTGGCTCTACGACTGGAAGTTCACGGGCCCCAGTAACCGTGACGTGCGCGGCAACAACAGCGCCATGATCCGCGAGCACGGCGCCGCCTCCACCGTCCTGCTGAAGAATGAGCGCAACGCCCTCCCCCTGCGCAAGCCCCGTAACATCGTCATCGTCGGCAACGACGCCGGCTCCGACACCCAGGGCCCCTCCACCCAGACCGACTTCGAATACGGTGTCCTCGCCAACGCCGGCGGCTCCGGCACCTGCCGCTTCAGTTACCTCTCGACCCCACAGGACGCCATTACGACCCGAGCCCGCCAGTACGGCGGCAGGGTGCAGACCTGGCTCAACAACACCCTCATCACGGAGAAATCCATGCCCGAACTCTGGAATCCCGAACAGCCCGACGTCTGTCTCGTCTTCCTCAAGTCCTGGTCCGAGGAGAACGTCGACCGCACCTACCTCACTCTCGACTGGAACGGCAATGCCGTCGTCGAAGCCGTCGCCAAGTACTGCAACAACACCGTCGTTGTCACCCACTCCGCCGGTGTCAACGTCCTCCCCTTCGCCGACCACCCCAACGTCACCGCCATCCTGGCTGCCCACTACCCCGGCGAGGAAGCTGGTAACGCCATCGCCGACCTCCTCTACGGCGACGCCAACCCCTCCGCTAAACTGCCCTACGTGATCGCCTACAACGAATCGGACTACAACGCCCCACTCACCACTGCCGTGGCTACCAACGGCACCTACGACTGGCAGAGCTGGTTCGATGAGGAGCTCGAAGTCGGATACCGCTACTTTGACGCCCACAACATCCCCGTCCGCTACGAGTTTGGCTTCGGTCTCAGTTACACTACTTACAACCTGACCAAGCTGGTCGCTGCGAAGCCCGTGGCCTCGAACCTGACTGCCCTGCCGGAGCAGCGTGCTGTCCAGCCTGGTGGTAACCCCGCTCTCTGGGATACCGTGTACACACTCACCGCCCAGGTGAGCAACACCGGCAGTGTGGACGGCTACGCCATCCCGCAGCTGTATGTCGGATTCCCTGATACCGCGCCCGCGGGTACCCCGCCTAGCCAGCTGCGAGGATTCGACAAGATCTGGCTCGAGGCGGGCGAGACTAAGAAGGTGACGTTCGAGCTGATGCGGAGAGATGTGAGTTACTGGGATGTGACGGCGCAGGACTGGCGCATCCCGGCCGGAGAGTTTACTTTCAAGGCTGGGTTCAGTAGTCGTGACTTCCACGCGAATGCGACTGCTACCTTTTTTAGGAAGTGAGGCGGGGAAGAACGTTTTATGATGTGATATGTAACTAGCATGAGGCATATGATTTGTATTTTATGATTTGTAGATAGTTGGCTAATCTAGTTATGTCTGAGACACTTGTGATTGTGGATCGGTGCTGATATAGTTATGTATTTGACACCCAGACCATTACGGGAAGATTCCAGTTGATCTAATCTTCCCTGAGTCGTAAATTTTGATCCTTTCTCTGGAGAAATTCTGCCTGGAGACTCTGATCAACGGGTTTGGACGCCACCCATAGAACCAACCTAAACCCGGTACTATGAAGAACGACCAACCTCGCCGGGTCCCTTCTCCAACTTCCTGTTGGCAGTCTGTCTGCCTTGTCGTGTCCCGTCCCTCACAAGGCCGAAACATTTCCAAATGACCATCTTATGTCTGCTTCGTCGACGGGCAAGTTTATCACCGTTGATGTGATGGACACTTTTCTTTCACACTTCGCCGGTGCGTCATGGGCCTCCAAAACTAGGCCCTTCAATATAGAAGTGCCCTAGGTCGGTGCCAGCTCGACAGCCCCATAACTTCAGCCCCATAATCCCCAAGGGACCGTAAGGCGGACGATGCCATTCCCCAGTCAGCACATCCATACGGTATCTCGGATTCCTTTGAGCCTGAGTCAACTTTCAGCGACCAAGGCAGATTGTCCAGAGATGTCGTTTCGACATCGGCACTCGCGCCCTTGTTTCCATGATAAGAGTATCTGGGTTTTTTAACTCTTAAATTTGCATAAAGTATGCATCTTCATATTTTAGATAAATATATACTTTGTACCCCGGGGCAAATCAATCCAAAGAGAGTCAGTCCTCTATCACCAATGAAGTGAATCATCTGGAGACTCGGAAGAAAACGAGATACCCTTCAAAATCAGTGAGCGGACTGGATCGCTTTTGAATATAAAGCACAGCTACAATTGATCGCGGATGCCCCTCGTGGTTCCCGGTTGGACGCTTTCCGAACCATTATCCAAATGGCCCAGTCGCTGTTGTCTTGCAGTATCTATCAGGCCGATTCCTGTGTAATTGCCAGCTTTTATCTAGAAGGCCACGAACCAGCAAGCCCCATAAATCGGGGGAACAATCCTGATGTATATGCAGGGCCTTTTAATGGACGAAGTCATCCACGAAAAGTGCGAAACCGAATACAACCGGTTCAAGAACTGAATGGAAGAACACTTGTTAGAATCCATAGCTAACACAATGGCTAACACAATGAAAAGTTACGTACCCTCAGCATATTTTTCTCACAAGCCTTGCCATGTCCCTATTGCAGCTTAGCTAGGGACCATACCAGAATGGGGGGGAGACCTACCCCAGCTACCAAATTCGGAAGGTGGCATAATCCATATCCGCATTTAGGATTACTTCGCTGTTCTGTACTCTGGCAGATGACCAAAGAGTGTAAAGGGGGCTGCTTTAAGCTGTAGCTGCCAGGCGTAACATGCCAGGTGTACTGAAAGGCGACGCCGTTCACCTTAGGTCATAGAGTGTGAGAGCTTGGATTTCACGTATCGTGAAGTTCCAAAGAAATGGGGCGATAAGGGTTCGTGTTCAAGACGTCTTCTTGAACAGGAAGACTGATATAGGAGTTTCAAACGCAGTGGACATATTAGCTGATGGTATATGTTGCAGCAGTGAAATAGTCCAAAATCTGAACAGCAGAAGCTGCATATACAACGGCGTTTCCCAGAGTGGGCATCTTGAAGATGTTAAAATCACCGAGTCGTGGAGTTCAACCTCGGCAATAATGCATAGGACCCTTCCTCTGTTTTCTTAAGGCGGTAGTAGCTGCCCAAACAAACAATGCCGGGGCATGCATTGCTCATGGTCTCTTGACTCAGCAGAGCAATAACCCTATTATCTTAGCGACCGAAGAAATTGTTTGTCAAACTTTGTGATCCGCTGCTGCTTGGTGGCTATATGTATAAATACGGTCGCTGAGAGAGATTATTTGCTACCCCGTTAGGACGTATGGCCTTTGAGTACCAGCCTTGGCTAGTGTTCGTTGTAGCGGAGCAGACGTGAAGTCAAAACCAGTCGCACAATACATGCATAGTGGAGGAAGCGTTGTCCGCGAGCTCCACCTCTTATAAGAAATTGGCAACTGACCAACAGCAGATCCCACTTCGTCGAGACAGATGATTATATAACGGTCGGCTGTTGTAGGGAGAATGATAAGTCCGGTAAAAGCAGATAGGATCTCGCATTTGAGGACATAAACCTAGCCTCTTTTCTCGAACTGTTCGGTACCTTCATCGTGGATCAGCAGCTGCGCCGAATTGCCAACCTTCCTCAACCCTTGGGAGAATTTTGCACGCGTTCTTCTTGCTTTTGGAGCACAGTATATCCTTTGGTCCAGCGAAGTGTCTGCGAGTGTATCAAAAGGCGATTAATCGAAGGAATGAAAGGAGTTTTGTGTCTGTTGTGAACCGGAGTCTCTCTAGTTGTGCCCTGATGCGTTGGACCAACTGGAAAAGCTCTGTAAATATCTGTTCAGAAGTAATCAGACACTGTAGATGTATAGATGAGACCACAGGATAGTCACCCAGAAGAGTTGTATCTTCTTTCCCTCTGCGTCCTCAATTCCCGGGAAGCATGATGCATACAAATGACAGTGCAGTGTGTTGCTTCGTGACCCGAATCTGTCAGATATGAGGTATATATGAAGGGTATCTAGAGGCTGATGTGAATAGTTCCTCTGAATATTGTTTTGTATTTCCGAGATTTCGAAGTATTAGACACCACTGATAAGAGAGGAGAAATCAGAGCGACGCCGGGTTGAGGGTTGTGTCAAGACATGCTTGGTATCACGAGGCTGGGTTGACAATTGCAGTCGATGTTGCAACTGATTCTCATTGTCAATCAAGTTAAGCAGGAGCTCTCAGAGAACAAGTGTTGAACTAAATCTTGTAGATAATATATATGATATATGCTGATCGATGGAAGAAAATCTATCGTTTCGAGGATGAACTTTGGCATCTGGTGAAGATTATATGATCATGAGAGTAAGTAGGAAGAAGAGGAGAAGAGTGGAAAAGGGAGGACGACGAGCTTTATATAAAGCAGTCAAGGCATTGTATTGTTGGCGAATTCAGCCGGACGGTGATGTGGTATGAACTGATTCAATACAGCTATCATGGAATTGCGCCGTGGTGACGCTGGTTATTCACGAGGCACAAGCCATTTTGCGCTATTGTATGGCGGTCATGAGTAATGGAACATGGAGCAGTTAATCTCTCCATTATAATCATTGTATTAGCATAGGGATGCTAAGCTTCACGCACATGGATTAACTAGCTCTGCTGTATTGTGATTACGGGACCGAGTTGGCACTTCTACAGCCAACAATGCAGTCTAAGAAAGACCTCAACTGCTAGATCGTCATGACGACGCTTAAGAAAGGCACACTTCTTCACACAAAACCAGCGGGTATGTAGCCGAACAGAAAACTCCTAAATATTATAGCAACGTGAATTTGAATCTATATGAATGCTCAATCGGTACGCACCAGCGTATCCACCTGCCTTGCAGCAGCAATCGACCTCTCTAAGACATCCAACTCCTCCTTCGTGAGATCCCTGACCTCACCACCGACCATACAACTATGATCCTGTTTCCTCGACCCTTTTACCCACTCCGCATCGATCATCCACTTATCCGGGACCTCATAGACATCCTCCATCCCAGCCTGTCCCTTATTCTTCAACAGACTCCCATTATACCACAACAGTCGCCCCTTGGCATCCACATGCGCAATCACGAAACTACATACACCGACTCTTTCCTTATCATCGACGTTCTTCCACCCCACGATCCCTCCATAATGCTTCGAAAACTCATACTCAGCGCCCGACAACTCCAACCCGAACCACCAGCTCTCCTTATCTCCATACGTGATCTTGTACGTAGTTTCCTCGCGCACTTCGTACGTATTCTGCCAGCAGATATGCAACAGGCCCATGAACGTATCAGGCCTACTTTTGTCGAGTACCACGAGACCCGAGTCCGCTTCTTCAGCGTAATCTTCCGTCCAGACAAGAGAGGCATCCATTTCCTTACTGGGTCGACGGATCTGATCCCGCCACCACTCATGACGGCCCTCGAAGGCGTGTTTCCAGAGAAGGCGGTCATGGAAGAGAAGCGCGCCTTTGTTGACGAGGGCGTCGTGCTGGAGGAGTACTTCTGGGGGTTGCAGGAAGACGGCGTCAGCATCTGCAAGGATAACTTTTTCGAAAGGGGAAGCTAGCGCCGCGAAAGGTTTTATGGCCCAGCCGCCCGTTTGGAGTTTGAGGGTTGTGTCGTCGAAGACGGTGAGGATGTTGAGGAAGGTGATGGCGGGGCCAGAGGCTGCCAGTGTTGAAAGGTGGTTCCGGTTGGTCGGGGAGAGGTCGTCATCGCCTGCGTAGACAACTTGGATGGGCAGAGTAGAGTTGAGGACGAAGCGGAGAGAGGCAATGAGGTGGGCGGCATAACGGAGGGTGTAGTCGCTGGTGGGGATGACGATGCCGGCTGAGTTGGGCTCAAAAGAAGCGCGAAGGTCTTGTACTGGGTGATGGGAGGATCTAGAATGGTGCGACTGAGGCTGCTTGGGAGGTTGCAGGAAAGGGTATTGTGCGATGGCGACTCCTTCAATGGCGTTGTGTAAGATGGACTTGGTGGTAGAGTCCTGTGAGGCTTCAGCTTGAATGAGCCAGTCGCGAAGAACTCGGTTGCGGCGGCCTAGCTCGCCGAACTTCTCTTTAAAGGGTTTCTGAATAGGGTGGTCCGCAAAGTATTGCGATATATCGGTGATGAGGGTGGTATCTATTGTGATGGTTCCAGCTGAAGATGAATGAGTTGCCGGCTTCTGTCCCTGCCCGAATCCGAAGACTTGACTCGTTGACGATGCGGGTGGAAGCAGCATGAATATAGAGAGCGCAAATATGACTGCGACGGCAGCGAAGATGATCCGGAAGCCGCGGTGGCTCCGGATCGCCGCGAACTGGCTCATATTGTGCGAGAAGAGCTTCCTGGACTCATCCCAAGTCATTGTGCAACAAAGAATTTGGTTGAGCAAGCATAGGTAGTCCGTGAGAATAGGGCGAGCAAGTCCCGTGCAGAGGATTGCTTCTGCCTGCACGGATGACGTTGGCAGCGGGCAAACATGCAAGGCCGGAACCTGATGGGCCTCGCGTCATGACCGGGGGCGATGACATGTTTTTAAGTGGTATTTAGATTAACACCTTAGCGACTAGAAGGAACTTTTGGCCCCGGTGCATACGTGGATCCCAGTTCAGGATCAAGCCGGGCGCAGCTAAATGGGGGCCGGAGAATAAGGGGGACACAAGATCACTGCCAAAAACAAAGAAGCTTGCTACTGACTTGTCAGCCAAGTGGGTGGACAATGGGCCTAGTAGGGCTGAACCCCTTGATAGGTCCCCTGAGTTTCGTTGATTTTCGGGTCGGCCAGGCATGGATCGGAGTCCGGCCAGGCAGAAAGATCCTATCAAGAAGCTAAAGATGCTTTTTCCTGGCTAAGCCTCTCTGGGTCCACCGATTTAGTGGAGCTTAACCAATGGTTTAATCTTCATTCGTCGACTCGCAGGGCTCTTTTTGGGTTTCGATTACTCACGTGTTTGGCTCCCCTTACCATCTTCTCGTATGCTGGAGGAGATTTCTGCTGATGGTTACTCAGACAGATCCAGCGTTCCGGAATTCTATGCGACTAAGCGGTCCATTAATATAGCGATTTCCGACCATTTCCGAAGAATATGAGTTCAGATAAGGGGGCCTTAGAGACATATTCTGTGTCTAGGCTTTCGTCAGAGTGAAAGCAAACTCTGCAAACCCGGTCGGGATGCTGGCTAAAAGGGACAAGAAGGTTTGTCAAAGCACCCCCGCACCAGTTGGCAACTGTGAAGAACAGTAGATAGTCAGTAAGCCCCAGACTACACGAAAATTTCTGGGCATTATGCTATTTATGGCACCGGCTTATCACACCATTCCACTATTACGAGGGTCAATAATCTCTGCCACAGTGGCTTGGCAGATACGCTGGGATTATCATGCTCGGGTACAGTTGGACAGTGCGCACGAGAATGGCGCAGTCACTCAGCAACCTGAAACACCATAGCATAAGTGTCTTGGATGTCCATGATTAGTAATAGGTGCAATGCACCACCCTTTATGCGTGCAGGGGTAACTTCATAGCAGTTAATTAAGCTTGTGGCAGCCAGTGCAATATAAACTAATGTGATATATAATCACTGTATACTTTCCTACAATAACAAGATTACACTGTAGAATTATATAGATTCGATGCTTATACAATGAGATTGCCTGGCACTGAAGTTCTGTGAGGTTTCTAGAAATTCAGGCGCTATAGGGCGGATTACATTGGGCCGGATGAGGTTGCAGTGCCAGAGAAATGTTAAGTCTGGTTCCAGTATCAGTGAGTCCGCATAATTGTCAGACAGCTTCACTCAATTTCTTCTCTACCTGAGCGGTGTTCCATGGGTCAGTTCATGTCATATCGTCTAGTGGCACGTCATGACTTCACTAATGGCTGGCTCCGCGGGCATATATTCCACCTCAATGGAAAAGAGACTTTCCATTCGGCTACACGATAGAAATTTTACGTGACTTCATACCACAACATAGCAGTCTATGATGCTCTAGATGCCGTCACTGGTGAAGTCACAGTGCATATTCCAATCGTCCATATTAACCCTTAAACAAGACCAGTTGATCTAAACTTGTGGACTAGCCGTAGATCTCACGTCCTAGCCAACTCCCCCGACCCGATAGTATCGACAATGCTCTCAACTATAACATCTTTCCTCATCCTTCTGTTCTTTGTTACCACAGTCTCCGCCTATCCCTTCGAGGAGAACTCCTTTCCTCGTCTCCAGGATACTTTAGCCACTGGCACCAAACCCGGTGACCCCCCCAAATTCGGTGGTGGGTATGACTACGTCGTAGTGGGCGGTGGCACAACCGGGCTCCTAGTAGCCAGTCGGCTAGCAAAGGCAGGAAACTCAGTCGCCGTTATCGAAAACGGCACATACCCTACTGGGAATTTGACTACAGTGCCAGGGTACAATGAGCAGTGGTTTAGCAGGGTGTTGCCGTCGAATTGGACGGATATGGTGAATGTGTGGCCTACTGTGCAGCAGGTGGTATGTTGCCCAGCTCTACTCGGGGGTGAATACTTACGGGCGCTAATCCTGGCTTTATTGCAGGGAGGGGGAGAGCAGCAGCATATGATGGGGAGAATGGTAGGTAGCTTATTCCTCTACTTTATCCTGTAGCCTTTGTTATGGTTATGTCTGATAGAATTGCAGATCGGAGGGAGCCAGGGCTTTACCTTTGTCGATTACTTCCGCACTACTAAGGGGGCTATGAAAAGATGGGCTGACGAAACTGGCGATGATTCCTGGACTTGGGAGAATGTCCAGCAATACTATAAAAAGTCATTCAAATTCACACCACCGAACAATACCGCAAGACCATCGAATGCCACACCGGACTATGAGTCAAGTCAAATCGTTGGTTCTACGCCTGGGCCACTAGAACTCACCTTCCCCAAATATGCCCAGGCATTTGGTAGCTGGGTTAAACTTGGTCTCAACGAATTAAAAGCTGGTATCAATCGAGTCTTTGTCGAGGGCGATATCAAAGGTGCCAGTTGGATCTTAAATATGATCGATTCGCAAACGGGCAATCGCGCCACAACATATACAGCTTTCTTGGAACCAACACAGAAAGATGACACGTCGAAGATTGACGTGTATGTGGAGACGCTGGCCGAGAGAACTTTGTCAAACACTCCCCCTGGCAGCGACCCCGTAACCATCGGAGTCTTAGTGAAACGGTGGGGCATGAGATTTCCGATATTCGCAGGGAAAGAAGTAATCCTAGCTGGAGGACCCATACTTACTCCTCAATTTCTCATGGTGTCTGGTATCGGTCCTCAGGATCACCTGCAGGAGATGAACATTACAGTCCTAGCTAATAGACCGGGAGTCGGCCAGAACTACAACGATCATATTCTCTTCGGCGTCAAGCACGCAGTACAAGTGGAGACAACATCGGTGCTCCTCAACGATACCAGGAAGTGGCAAGAGTGCGAAAGATTCAAAGCTCACGCAAATGGCATGCTGGCCGATCCGGGCCCGGATTTCGCCGCCTTTGTCGATTACCCGGAAGATATTCGCCAAAACCTGTCTGCCCAGACTAAATCAGGTAATTTGTGGCCTTGTGTCTCTCGTGGTTCCGTTGTGCCTAATAATATGATTCTAGATCTCTCCCAATTCCCCTCTGACTGGCCAGATATCGGTATCGTATCTTCTCCACTCGGCGTCAATGGCGACGGCAATCACAACTATGCAGACCTCGTCTGCATCCCTATGAAGCCCATATCCAAGGGAACTATTAAACTCAGATCTAAGTCCATGGATGATAAGCCTGTGCTGGATCCGCAATGGCTTAAATCTCCGACAGACATGGATACTGCCGTCGCCGGTCTGCAGTACCTTCTGCGCCTCTATGGAACGAACAGCATGAAGCCCATCTTAAATGCCTCGGGTAAACCTATCGATCTAGAAAGTTCTAACAAGGACGACCTCATTAAGTATGTGAAAAACAACTATCGAACGTTGAATCACCAATCTGCATCGTGCCGAATGGGAAAGCGAGACGATCCTATGGCCGTGGTGGATAGTAAGGGCAAGGTAATCGGAGTTGATAGATGTGAGTCCTACCTACTTCGACTCTGGACTTGACGTTTGGTTGCTCCTCCGTGTTGTACGTACGGAACTGATTGAGAAACAGTGAGAATTGCTGACCCGTCCGCCTGGCCTTTCTTGCCAGCGGGATTTCCGTTAGGCACTGCCTGTGAGTAATACCCTACCATTCCCACAGTCAGTTTTGGAATGATCGGTCTAACCTACTCAAACTGTAGATATGTTTGCGGAGAAGATAGCCGATAACATCCTCAGTGATCATGGAAGTGACAAGGATGAGGATGAGGATGAGCTGCGAGTGGAACTCTAGAGAGAGGGCCCTACGTTTCTCAACGGAATGATGAAGAGTACTCATTCGAACATGAAAAGGCAACGACCTACTGTAATTGCAACAGAAGTTTTTAATACTGTCTCAGATAATGTTAATCTACTAGATCGCACTACAGGAAAAATGACTGCAATTGGCTTGAGCGACAATGATCCGTTTCTGAAGGACTCCCAATGGCACTCTCGAACGGGCCATTAATCCCAACGAAGGGAGCAAGAAGAAGGTCAGAGCGAAGGCTACTGAGATCTGAATATGGAAATAACATATAAATTGATTAAAAGTATAATTCTAATGTAGATGTTCCGTTGTTGATTATTTTGGCATCGAGCATATTCCCGCCAGGGGTAATTTAGTATCAGCCACGCTATCTAATCGGTACACGCCAGTGACATCAAAGTACTTGCCGGCGACCGGGCATACACAAATCGAATCAAAGCCTATACTAGTACTCTGCAGCCGGCATCTACTATTTCCGATAAAATCAACGAATCTGTTTGCCAGATTCCAGGTAAGCAATGATTGGCATCACTTTATCTGCTCCCACACACTCCCGCCACATGTCTGGCCTGAAGAGAAGATCATTGTCGAAATCGTCTCTCGGAGGCTAAATATCGAATTGCCCCACCTTCCCCTCATCTGGTGCAGAAAGCGAACGTCGTTCATGATGGTTTTCACATCAATCCTCTTAAATCAAATCAGGAATCATTTTTCCTCCCATGGAAAATGCCATCCACCCTTTGCAACAGATGCAAAGTCCTATACTTTAGCGCCGAGTCCCTATCTCGATACGGCTTCACAGAAGTGGAAACAGAAACCGGAAAACCCCACCTGCAATTCCCAGCTGGGCAACATTCCATCCCTATCGAATTTGACTGTCGTGATGACCTCCCCGAATTACCGGCTCTTAGGGCGTCAGGCGAGGCAGGATGCTTGTTCTGCCCAGCGCTCCGAAATTCGCTGCTAAAGGGCATTAGCGAATGTCGTCTTCGCAGTTGGGTCTTGGGGAATCATGACCATGGACAATGGACAGTCAAGGTGGTCAAGGTTTCGCTGATGGCGGAATTCAGAGCCTCGGACGACGAGAGAAGTAAATTCGCAGCAATCATGATGGGATGGGATGTTCTTAGGCCAGGACAGGATCGGTATGAGGGCGATTTTACTGGGCCCGATGGTTTGATTTATTTCAAGCTACGTGCACACTATGGTGGGTTATCCGTTTTCTCTCTTATGTTAAGATTGGAAGTTGCTCCTAACTGGGATGACAATGCGTGCTAAACAATATTAGGTGACCCCCTTGCACGCTATCTAGGCATCGCATATCCCCATCCTGATCAAGATAGGCTCTCCACTGAAAACACAAAGACGATTCGTCACCACTTAATTGAATGCGACAAGAACCATAATCATGCCTCCAACATTGTCCGCCCTGGGGATTCAATATCCGACAGGTTGCCTCTACGGCTTATTGAGATTACTGACAGCCAGGAAGGCAAGAAGCTGCGCTTGATAGAGACAAAAGAAATCAACGGTCATGAATCAACCTGTCAAGACGCCTCCAAATGCCCGAAATACGCCACACTCAGCTACCGCTGGGGCTCCGACGAGTTCCTTACCACAACCCCCAGCAACCTTCAAGCGCATCACCGGGATATCCCACTATCACCATTCTCGGCAGATGACCCCACGACGACCCTACCACCGGGTTTCAGAGACGTCGTCGACGTATGCTGCGCGTTGGGAATTCCGTATCTGTGGATCGATAGTCTCTGCATTGTCCAGAAAGAAACGAGAACCACAGACAAGCCTCTTCTTGAGATCCAACAGGAGCAGTCCCGACGCGATTGGGCCTCAGAGTCGACCAAAATGCACAGCATCTACATGTCATCATACCTGACAATTTACTTGACTGCCACAGATACGCCTCTTCAGAAAGTCTTTGATCGACCAGTATGCAGCTCTGAGTCTCTGGTCCCCATCACATACTCCATCGAAAATCGCCCTGAAGTCCACGGTTCATACTTCATCGAGCCCTCGCCTTACACAGGCGAACTGGATCACCTTTTCTGGAATCCATACCTAGCCGCTGAGGATGAGCTAGACTCATCAGTATGGAACACCCGCGGTTGGACCCTACAGGAACGACTCCTATCCCCACGAAAGCTCTACCTTGGGGTAACCGATATGCTCGGCCTAGGCTTATTGACCTGCCCCTCACCAAAAGATTACGGGCGCGATGTCGAGCTAATCAAACGGCCCCGACGTCACAAGTCACTGGACAAACTGGAGATCGGAGGAACGTCATCTGCGACCGGGGAACAAGCTCCCGATAACACAAAACTATATCGCGCTTGGTATAAAATCGTGGAAGACTATACCTGTCGTGATCTGACGGTCCCAAGCGACAAGTTACCTGCTGTTGCCGGCATCGCACGCACACACGCCTTAGCCCTGAATGACGAATACCTCGTTGGAATATGGGTTCATGATTTGGCCACGGGACTTCTTTGGGGCACCCGTAATGCAATGAGACCTGGCATGGATCGATACTTTGGAGAACGAGAACGACAGCCCATGATCCCGACAGAACATTATCGGGCGCCGACTTGGTCATGGTGTGCCAACGATGGGGCGGTTGAATTTCTTGTACGTCATCTCCATAATCCGAAATCGGAGATCGAGGTTCTCGGTCACGATGTGATCCCGCAGTACATGGGAGACAGCTATGGACAACTGGCAGTCGACCAAGGAGATCGGGGATATGTGAAGCTCAGGGCGAAGATTAGAGTAGCCCGGATGGAAGCCAGGTTCCAGCCGATACCAGACATCATGCTGCGGAACTTCCCTGCACTGGCAAACCGAGGTCCCGAGGCTGAGAATAAGGAATTTCAGTTACGATATGTCCATGTGACTGACGATGCTGGAGAACGCGGGAGTGAGACTATATTTCCGGATCATGCTGGATGCTATCCTAACGAAGAAGAAGTCTACTTGATGATTGTATCCAGGGGTGATCAGCGGGTGTGGTCGGAGCCTGGTAAGTACGAAGTTGGGGTTCGATCTGCCGGGTTGGTGTTGTTGAAGTGTCCGAATCAGACGAGATTGCAGTTTAAGCGGATTGGCTTCTTTACGCATTTCTGGGATTCTGGCCTTACCCCAGTTTTCGATGGGTGTGAGCCGCAGACTGTTTATCTGGTGTGATCATGGCAGCCCTTGAGGTATTTTATAGATGAAACAGTAAGACTAGAATCTTTCATGTAAGAATGATTTGACTGTGTTTCAGCAGTATCTTACAGGCACCTACTTGCTCAATCATTACCTAGGAGAAACCTATACCTTATGCCCTTTGTTGGTGAGCCATACATGACCGAAGCTTTGACTAGTATACATAATCCCCAGCTCGCATAAAAATAACGTAACCGATAATTCGAAAATCAAAGTAGAATAGCCTCGAGGGAGGGCCCTTCATGTTTTCATCCGGCTACCTCAGCATATAGACAGGTACTCCGATGCATCTGCAAAGCTACCATCCGAGCTGGCGGCACTGCTGCGCTCTTGAAGCATATCCTCCAGTCGTGAGTTAACTCGGGAAGGAAAACAGGAGAAGAAGCCAGCTTCCATAAGACTGTCTGAGGACTGATCAGCAATGAGCTTATATACAATCGCCTTCAGCTCATTCAGCTTGGCATTCGCCTGCTTCAAGAGATGTGGATTGGAGGATATTCTCTTCTCTAGGAAGGTCTGTCGCTTTTTCACCACGAAGGCAAATTCCAGGAGGAGCACTCCTAGGTCAGCAACCTCATTGTGGACGGCGTGCAGCCAAGCAGCCGACCACGCAGGCACTTGTATAAAGTTCGTAGTTCCGACAACTTAGAACAGACTTGAGCGGCTAATGTTGCGATCGCAATAACGCTGGAACTGATCGATATGGATCCATGGTTGGCAGCCGATCGAGGCACAAACAGCAAGTAAGAAATTCTCTGAGGGGTCATCAGATTGGGTGCGATGACTCTAACAGTGATAGAGAACAAAAATACTGTTTATCTGATGTTGACTAGTAACGGAGTTCATTAATCCCGGTTTAGCAAATTGGGCTCGAACCCGAACTTAGCCGGTCTCACAACGGCTCGACAATCCAACCGTCAACTGCAGTCGGGTAACATTAAGTAAAGTGGATGTACCACTCACACTAGCTGAGTTTGGGTTGCTAAGCCATTTGTATCACGAGCACCAAGAGTGTGCATTTTCCTGGTGGATTCTGCTCGACGGAGAGGCTGTGGTGACAGATTGCTGTAGCCGTCCTGAGCCCACTTATCGTCCTCCGTTCTTTTCATATCACACTCTGAGAAGCCTAAGTGGTAGCATTTCCTGGTTACAAGCATTCATCGCAATATTTATTTGGGGAAGAATTGCCCACTTCTAGGTTTATTTCGGATTAAGCTTCAGTAAAAAGCGGATACTTGCGCCATTCTCGTACTTATTCCTTGTAAGAGCCTTGGCTACCATGGCCACCCCAGCCTAGATCTCCCATCTGCCAGCCTTCAGGTCGACTGCGGGTGGTGGGTTAATCCCGTAAATACCGCCACGATCGAATATTCTCCTCGGTACCTGGCTCTGTAACAGTTCAGGAATCCCACTATCACGGGGATGATTCCGTAGGGTGTATTCTCACTCGGTTTCCTCCGAAATCAGAACATCAACATATCTGAAATTACTGATTTCAACCTTTCATGAAGCGACGGGCAAAGATATGTAAACATTCGCGAAGACACCAAGTAGTAAGCTGGTCCAAAACGCCAAGGGAAGCCATGTAGCACAAGACTTTGGACTTCAGAGAGCATGCTGGTTCATTTGCTTTGACTTTCTTTCTTCCCCTTTCTTACAAATTTTTGTCTCCCACCCCTAGCCGCCCGTACTTTGGTCTACCCCTCGCTCGAGAGACTCCCGTACGATATATAGCATCTCACACACCCCCTCCCTCCCTTTAGCTGTCGTTGCACCTAGAATCACAACATGAGATTTGGCCGAGATCTTCACCTTCATCAGTCCTCGGAGTGGGTGGAGCATCATGTTCCATACAATCGTCTCAAAAACCTGCTGAAAATTGCCGTTGAGAGAGCTACAAATGAGCAAACTCGTCCCGATTTTTCAGGTCCGTCACTTGGAACACAAACATTTGATAATTCCATGTGCTTAACTTTCTTTAGATGTAGAATCATGCCTGGATCAAAGCATCGCAGTTCATCTTCGGTTTCGCGAAAAGCAAGATAACTATCTTCGCCAGCAAGTAGAAAAGACAAAATACCATTACCACATAAGCTCTCGCGTTTCCGATCCAACTTCGATGTGCACACTTTCCCAAATTGACGTCGAGATTCTTTGCGAATTGTTTAGCAAGTTTTCCCAGGAAGCTTTTCAACTGCTGCGGTACCAACGGTTGGATGTTGAAGCCGTTTCTCGCATCTACGCAAAGATCGACAAACATCTAGAAGGGGAGAAATGCCACTCCGCTCGACCAAACTATCTGGACAAATTCATGAGACAAACACTAGCGAGCGTAGGTATGGCGGGGAAATTGGACCTAACGGTTGCCCGTGTACAGGAGAGACGGTCGGATCCCAGCAGGCCGGCCTACCCACAACCCCGATTATATGAGGCGCTACGGCAGGATCATCCTTCGACAGTTGCTTACATGGTAGAAGAGTCCTTACAACAGAGTAACTTACCAAGGGAGTTATTTCTCTCTCATCTTCTAGAGCTAGCAGTATATGAACTTCGCCCTAATACTGTCCGCACATTACTATTCGATGTGCTGCCTCAGAACGACATTGCCATCCAGGCTGTATTATTGAATCGCTTGTTCATGGTTCTGGGTCTTCGGAAGGGGCAACTATCAGCACCGTATTCCTGCACACTCTTCTGTAAAATCCGAGACCTTCTCTGCCAGGTGATTGGGGAGTTAGGGCCCAGGTCAGAGGAGGTTCTGCTGTCGGAAGATGAACTCGGGCGCCTCCCTCTACACTATGCTGCTTCAGCCGGGCTTTTATGGGTGTGTATGGCAATATTCAATGTCGCTAAAAGCTGGAATACTACATCTAGATGGTGTTTGATTATGCACACTGACAAACGAGACTGTTCACCTCTCGAGTATGCGGTTGTTGGCAACCACCGCGACGCTGTTTCATCTGTTCTGGTCTACCTGGAAAGATTATTAGACGCACCCTATAGTGATGACGGAATAGGATCATTGTTGAGTCGCATGCTCTTTATTGCGCTTCATTACGGATATGAGGGTCTGATTTCGATCATTTCGCGGACTTGCTCTCGCTTCTGTCAGAGACCCAGGACCTGTGAAGGGGCCAGCCCGCTGCATGTCGCCGCGCGTACTGGAAGGGCGGATCATGTACGACTACTGTTGGGGAACATATGCATCTCTGATGTGAGCTCGGTGGAGCCGATGTACGGTTGGACTGCGCTGATAGTCGCCTGTGTCGAAGGTCACCAGAGTGTCGTCGATGTGCTTCTCGAGCATGGAGCCGAACGGGACCACAGGGACCATCGCGGCTGGACAGCACAGGAGCATGCCGCTTTTCGGGGGCATCTTGCCTTAGCGAAAGCAATTGCCGGGCCATCCAAGTGGGAGGCAGGTACCGATAGACTACCTGCCGCACCGTTGACGCAGCAGGGTGCCAAGATTAAGGCTCTACACCAACGGTCGCAACTGGTGGTCTACCTTGGCAGCCTGCAGGAGGGAAAACAATTTAAACACATAGAGCTTCGAACACCATCACTGAGAAGTAAAGCCTCGGACTACAACCTTGCGCTCAAAGTTTCTTCCCCTTGGAATCACTCTGTTCGTCAGCTCAATTTGTCCTTGCTTAGTGACACGGCCAACGAACCAATGATCTTTGAGCTTCCCACTCCGACCGAGGCAGAACTGTGCCTAGAGCTCCTCGATTTGAGCGATGGTCCTAAATGTCAAGCACAGTTGCTTGGAGGCGGTACGGCGCTGCTGATGGACAACCTCAGTACCTTTGGCGAGAACCGGGAAAGTCTGGTGCGCGAGAGAACTGTTCCCATTCTCATGAGCGGGTCGTTCCAGGTTATAGCTACTGTGACCTTCACATTTCTTATTATCAAGCCATTTCAGCATCCCAGCATCCCCTCTGTGAGAGAATGCTTTCTCCGTTTTGGCGATTTCTGTCTCGTAGGGCATCGAGGTAAGCATGCAGGTTGATGTGATTTGCGCTCGCCGCTGAAAATCTGCAGGTTTCGGGCAGAATGTTGCCGGGCATGATTACTTACAGTTGGGAGAGAACACAGTGGAGGTAAGTGGTAGTTTATCTAACTAGACCATATGCTCATAGTGCCCAGTCATTCCTATCAGCTGCCAGTCAGGGAGCTTCTTTTGTCGAGGTAATGTTGAACTCCCCTGTTCTATCTTGCTGATCTAACGTCTTCTAGTTCGGTATGCCATTCGCTATTGAAATCTTGTTTTTACCATGTACTAAGCTGTTGCAGATGCTCAATTGACCAGAGACCTTGTACCTGTTGCATACCACGACTTTTCCTTGAGCGAGTCTGGGACTGACATCCCAGTGCATGATGTGACTCTAGACCAGGTTAGCAGTATTACCTCTACGACCTACTTAGAATCCATCTAACTTTCCAGTTTCTGCACGCGAGCAAAATACAATCCTCAATGGGGCATCCAACCTTCATCTTGGGAAACAGGCACTACCATCGAAATCGACGCTCGCGGTCTCTCACCAGGGACTATGACCACGGCGCGCAACAAATGCAAGAGAGAATGAGACACACGGTAGACTACATGAACAAAGGCTTCAAGCCCAACACGCGAGGCCACATTGTCCAGGACTTATTTGCAACCATCGAAGAGCTACTAATCCAGCTACCGGAAAACCTCGGCTTCAACGTCGAGATCAGTGAGTCGTCCCCGTATCTCATCTCAGAAAACATCGCTAACAATTACTAAGAATACCCCCGACTTCACGAAGCCACCGAGGCAGGAGTAGCCCCGGTAGCGATCGAGATCAACACATTCGTGGACAAGATACTGGAAAAAAAATTCACCTTGAGTCACAGCAGAAACATCATCCTGTCCTCGTTCACTCCCGAGATCTGCATTCTCTTGGCACACAAACAGCAGACCTATCCAGTCATGTACATCACCAACGCCGGCAAGGCCCCAGTCCTAGACAGAGAGAAGCGAGCTGGTAGCCTGCAAGCTGCAGTGCGATTTGCCCGGCAGTGGGGTCTCGATGGGATTGTTCTCGCCTCCGAGACATTGATCATATGCCCTCGTCTGATCGGATACGTCCAGCGGTCGGGGCTCCTGTGTGGCTCGTATGGACCACTCAATAATGTCCCGGAAAATGCCCAGGTGAGTGATGTCGCCCGGGGAGTCACTCGGAAATATACTAACCCCACCTTCGTAGCTCCAATTCGATGCCGGCATCAATATTCTGATGGCCGACCGGGTCGGGCTTATTGCCACAGCACTGCAGGGCCGGGATGGCGATGATCGGCGATTGAAGAACTAGCGGGTTGCTCCGACCGGTCGCATAGGAAGTGGTGACATAGATTATCAATGAGTTAGGGAAGCCCTCATCCCTCGATAACGAATCTACATATCGTATCTTTTGCATACTCTCTTTGCCTATCTTAAATCTTTCCATAGGGTCTTAAGCAGTGTGGGAAATGCCCACTCTGGAAATTCGGCGTTTCGGACCGCGGCGGATGCGGGTGGAGAGAGCCCGAACGGCGCCGTCGATCGTCAGCGATAAGGTGGTGATCCCAGGGGTGAAGTCATAGTGTGGAAAACCTTTAACCAGTAGCATGATTTTAGTAATTTGTGCCAGTCAGTAAGAAGGGCAAATCCGGATAGCTTCAGAATGGGCAGACTACCCAGTGTACGTGGGCTTGTCGAGGAAAAAGACGAGCCCCAGATAAGACGTAAAAGCCTAGCCTAGGCCGATCTCGTGGGAGGGACAAAGGCAGCTTGAACCCTGAAAAGGTGAGGCTCCACTGGTTCGCCCATGCGATCATCCGTGGGTCTCCCTCGTTGCGCTGCCATGAAGCCATTTCCCTATGGCGTCACCAGCCGGGCCTTCGCCAGGGTTCCTTTGACTTCATCTGTCCACACTCTCTTTGCACACCTGTGTTTTCTTTGCTGTGGCTGTCCTATCCTTCCGCAATCATTCAGTTCCTCTTCCATTGTTCCTGAATACATACACGAAAGTACCAAATTTTCTCATTGGCCGCACATGGTCGAACCTTCCTATCTCTGCTAGCAGAGATGCCGCACCAAGATGGCCCAACGGCCGACGACTGGCCGGACGAGCACCTCACCGAACAAACCACCAACAGCACCGGCCATGGGCGGACTCCCCGGCGTGCGCATTACCATGAGAGGGGACTCAACACCGGGGTCCGGGTAATGGGTGCGTGCATTCCCTAATCTTTCTTCATCCCAAGATTCCCTCATTCTCAACTACTAACCATAATCGATCCCACCAGATGATGGCCGCCTGGACATTAAGATCCGCGAACGCAAACCCTGGGTATCAAAAATCATCAAACATCTCCAACAGCAACCAGAACCCCTCCATGAAGAGCGCAAGCCATCTGTCTGCTTTATCGAAGATGGGAAACCCCCCTGCGCCTTAAAACTCAACATCGTCATCCAAGTCGTCGGCTCCCGCGGTGACGTCCAGCCCTTCATTGCCCTAGGCAAGGTCCTCAAGTCCCACGGCCATCGCGTCCGTCTCGCCACACATCTCGCCTTTCGTGAATCCATCGAGCATGAGGGTCTCGAGTTCTTTAATATCGGCGGCGATCCAGCCGAGTTGATGGCGTTCATGGTGCGGAATCCGGGCCTGATGCCGCATATGAGTACCCTGCGTAGCGGGGCGATTCCTCGCCGGAGGCGCGAAATGAAGGCTATATTTTCGGGGTGTTGGCGCTCGTGCTATGAGACGGGTGATGGAACAGGATTGCATCATATTCCGGAGGATCCGTGGAGTGAGACGGCGGATTATCGCACGATGCCGTTTGTGGCCAATGCTATTATCGCGAATCCGCCGAGTTTTGTTCATTTGAGCTGTGCGGAGAAGTTGGGGATTCCGTTGAATATGATGTTTACGTGTGTATCCCCTTTTCAGATCTAGATGATCGAATGTGCTGATCAAATGGGTGTATGCAGAATGCCCTGGTCGGCAACACAGTCTTTCCCTCACCCGCTGGCAACGATCCGCACAAAGAACACCAAACCCTCCGCTGCGAATTTTGCTTCGTATGCCATTGTCGAAATCCTTATGTGGGAGGGCCTGGGCGATCTGATTAACTCTTTTCGGAAGCGTGAGCTCGGGCTGGACCCGTTAGACGCTATTCGGGCACCGAGTATTGCGCACCGGTTGCGTATCCCATACACTTATCTCTGGTCGCCAGCCCTCCTGCCCAAACCCGGAGACTGGGGCGATAATATAGACATCGCCGGCTTCTCCTTCCTCTCCTCGGGCTCGGACTACACACCCCCCGACGACCTGGCGAATTTCATCAAATCTGGACCTCCCCCAATCTACGTCGGGTTCGGCTCCATCGTCGTAGACAACCCGGGTTCACTAACAAAGATCGTCTTTCAAGCCATCCGCGAAAGCGGACAACGAGCAATCGTCTCCAAAGGATGGGGAAACCTCGGAGCCGACGAAGACGATATCCCAGAGAACATCTTCATGATCAGTAAAAGCCCACATGACTGGCTCTTCCAGCACGTCTCCTGCGTCATTCACCACGGCGGAGCGGGCACCACCGCTGCCGGACTGGTACTGGGCCGTCCGACCATCATCATCCCGTTTTTCGGCGATCAGCCGTTCTGGGGCTCGATCGTGGCTCGCGCTGGCGCTGGCCCGCTGCCTATTCCACATAAGCAGCTGACGGTGGAAAAGCTGACGAATGCGATCAAGCAAGCGCTTGAGCCTGAGACGTTGGAGAAGGCAAAAGAAATTGGGAAGGAGATGCGTAAGGAGCGGGGGGTGCAGAATGCCGCTGCTAGCTTTTATCAGCATCTAGATGTGCAGACTATGCGGTGCTCTATTTGTCCGGATCGGCCGGCTGTGTGGTGGGTGAAGCATTCGCATATTAAGTTGAGTACGTTTGCTGCGGCGGTGTTGGTGGAGACAGGGTTAATTAGTCCGCGGAACGTTGTTCTGTATGTTCTGTGTAGTTTGTATCTTGCGGACGGTGTGTATATGGCTAACTGGTGGTTTTAGATATCGTTCACACGAATACGACACGAATCGAGATCCCAGAGGCCCATTGACAGCCGGTGCGGAGGTTCTCTACGGCATAGTCTCGGGGTTCGCCAGTGGCATCGCGGAGGTCCCCAGCGGAATGAGAGGCATATTCTCGACGACGCATGAGCGACGACTGCATCACAAGCACGACTGGAAAAAAGCGCGTCGGCCATCCTGTCTTGATGAATTGAATACCCCTCGTCACCGTCATCGGCGAACGGAAACGTCCCTTGATTCTGGTGTCGGGGCTGATGTGGTGCCAAATGGTGACAGTCAGCACCCAGGAACTGGAAGCCAAGGCCAGTATGAGCACGGTGATCCCCGCGAGGACCTATCCTCCAACGAGGACTCCCGAGAATCGACTGAATCCGACGAAGCGTATCACTCCGCTGGGGAGGAGATTCACCGAGATCAGGCCGTTTCCGACCGTCAGCAAAATGTAAACGGGGCTACCAACAGCCCCAGCAGTGGTGATCCATCAAGCCCGCCCATAAGCAGCTCCGATACTGATACGTTCGACACAACGGATGACGATATGGGCGCGGAGCTCGATCTCGAGCGAACCGTAACTCGACTGCGATCGAGGGAAATGTCCCATACAAAGGAAATATTGGCAGAGACGTCCTATCACAGTGCCAGGGCGACAAAGCATATTCTAAATTGGCTCCTTCTGTTGCCTACCGATTTGACTTTGAGTCTGACGAAAGGGTTTCATAATGCCCCGAAATTGTATCACGATACCCTGGTGGAAGAATCGCCACGAGTGCTTGGAGTGAGGAGTGGGTTTCGTGCTGCAGGAACGGTATGCTCTTCGGATGCCCCTGAGGAATGGTTGAATTTGCTGATGAGTATAGGAATTCACTCATGGATTTTACAATGGCATTACTGGACTTGTCACGCAGCCCGTGGTCGGGATGGAAAAGGCTGGTGGGAAAGGATTATTGAAAGGTATTGGTAAAGGCGTAGGAGGTGTCTTCCTCAAACCCACTGCTGGTGAGTTTCTCCTCGACAAGACTGGCAATGTCAGAGCTAACTGGGACCTGCTTAGGCCTTTGGGGTTTGGCGGGCTACCCGCTGGACGGGATGCACAAGAGTCTCCGCAACTCGCTCTCCAAGAGCAAAACGAAAGATATCCTGACATCGCGAATAAGACAGGGTATTGAGGAGATGTGTGCAGCTACCACGCAGCAACGATCCCTGGTGATCCAGAAATGGCATGAGTTGCAGCCAACGGGGCTGAGGCATGAGCATGGGCATGAACATGGCTCGTAGGTAGATATACCCAGTTTACTGTGTTTTTTCTGCATGTGTACGATGTATATTTAGTCTGTAGTGTATAGCTTTGTGGATCGAATGTACACTAGGTGTCCATAACTGATAATGATTCTTGCCGCATGTGATTGATAAGATAGGAGAATTTCGGATCATCCCTGTGCAGCAAGGCTTGTTTCTTTCCTTTTCAGAAGACAGAATTCAAGAGATTTATCGGGATCACTAGCCACAGTGATGTCAGCCTGTTATTCGCATCTCGATTGCCCGTTCAGGAATTCACTGGTGTCCATCTCTCAGGCCTTCCAAGGCAGTCATTCACTCAGCTCAGCCACTTCCCCCCACCTGAACCGCTCCTTCGTGAACTCTGGGCCCCGGATCAGCCCAATCAAACCATTCACTTGGTCCCTTAGTGGCTGTGCTGTCGCTCTTCATTTCCGTCCTGTGGCTGCGCCCGTCTCTGAGCTTCAGCTGTCAGATACTTAAACGTCGCACAACCCCACTTCCTCGATCTCACTTCATCGTCATCATCAAACACAGATTTCGTCCTTAATCTGCATTCTTCTGAAAGAAGAACCATGTCTTATCAGCAACCTTACGGACAGGGTCCGCCACAGGGCTATAATCAATATCCCCCTGCAGGACAGTACCCGCCGCCGCAGGGACAGTATGGCCAACACCAACAATATCCACAATATCCCCCGCAGGGTCCAGGCCCCTACCAGCAAGGTCCAGGTTCTCATCAGCCGCCTCAACAGCACGGTTCATACCCACCTCCAATGGCCGGTCATCATCCTCAGCAGACACAGGCACCATACCCTCCACAGCAGCAACACCCACCACAGGGTGCCTCTCCATATCCACCTCCCATGAGTGGCCAACATCCTCAGCAACCTGGTCCCTATTCTTCATACCCACCATCACAGCAGGGCATGGGATATCCGCACCAGGGCCCTCCATCCCAGCAGGGCTACCCACAAGGGCATCCTGCTCAGCAGGGCTATCCGAATCCGCCACAACAGCAATACCAATCCTTCCCACCGGGTCCTCCAGGCCAACAACCACCACCAATGATGGCACCCCCAGGAGCAGGCGGGCCTTACCCCAGCTATAACCCCCAACAAGGCCCAATGCCCTCCCGTCCCTCCCCCGGCTATGATCCTACTTTCCTTGCCCCAGGCACAGCATCCAACGAAGCCGAGGTTCTCCGCAAAGCCATGAAGGGGTTCGGCACGGACGAGAAAGCGCTGATTCGCGTCCTGACTAGCACCACAGACCCGAACCGGATGGCTCTTATCCGCCACACGTACGAGAGGATGCACAACAGATCTCTAACAAAGGACCTGAAGTCCGAGACCTCGGGATCTTTCGAGACGATCCTCGTTTCGCTTGCCACGGGCCCATTGGAATCGGATATTACGTACCTCCACGACGCGATGAGTGGGCTAGGCACAAACGAAACGGGATTAAACGATGTTCTTCTGGGGCGGAGTAACGCCGACCTGGCTGCTATCCAGCGCGCCTACCGCGACAAATACCACAAGTCGCTTCTCGACGACATCAAGGGAGAGTTGAGCGGCAAGACGGAGCGGTTCTTCGAGATGCTACTCAACGCGAGACGACCTGAACGGGGAACTCCCTTCGATCCCCGCGGTGTCGAGACTGACGTCCGAGAACTGCATCGTGTGACCGCTGGAAAAGTGGGAACAGACGAGGTCGCTGTTTTCGGTATCTTCATGAACTCGTCGGATGAGAGGTTGAATGTGCTGGCTGGGGAGTTTGAGAGAATGTATCATGTTTCTCTGGAGAAGGTCATCCGGGGTGAGTTTTCGGGGCATTTGGAGGATGCGCTGGTTACGATGCTGCGGGTAGCGAGGGATCCGGTCTCCTTCCATGGTGCAACTTTGAAGGAGTGTTTCTCTGGGTCCGATGGGGTCAATGAGAAGAGGCTGATTTATTGGACTGTCAGGTTGCATTGGAATCCGGAGTATTTCGCGAGGGTGAAGGGAACAATGGGAGGGAATTTGCGCGCGTTGGTGAAGAATTATGTTTCGGGCGGGGATTTTGAAGATGCAATGATGGCCGTTTGCTCTCATTGATAATATTTTTTTGCTTTATTTTCTGCTGTATTCTTCATGGTGGCTTCCATAATAGTAATGATAGTATGATGATGAAGGATTGTTTTTCGAGGTGTTGGTGTGTCATTCAGTAGTACTAGTACTAGTAGGCTTGGCTCCAGCCATAGTGACCAACTACTGGCAATATATATCCGGCACGAGTTGTACAAAAATCGTCGGCCGAGAGAGAGAAAACCGGACACACCACGATCTCACAATGGGAAGCAGTGTAAGAGCTCTATGAATCAATTAGATACATGACCTTCTTAAAGAACAACAAGATCTCCAGAGATCCAACAAACCATAAATGCAACGGACACAACCGCTATGCTGGAGCTAGCATGTTATGGTGATGATCTATGTTAAGGCCCTTATGTATTAAAGTTGTGACCAACTACCATAACAACGGCAAGGTGGCCGAGCGGTCCAAGGCGCCAGGTTAAGGTTCACCTTAACAGTCAGCTTCCGAGCTTCCTGGTCATCGTAAGATGGCGTGGGTTCGAATCCCACCCTTGTCACTTCTTTTTGTCTTTTTGCTATTCTCACCTGGTTGCTTGCTTACTATTTTTTCCTTCTTCCCTGTTCCGAGTTTTTGGGCCTGTGGCCGCTTGGTCTGTTCTATTGCATCTACTCACCACGCTGGCTGTCTGCCGCCCGCCTGCCCTCTATCAGCTCCACCATTTCTTTCACGGCATCATCGCGTCGTAATCGTGGAACATGCCGATTTGTTGGATCCTTTTTGTCGACAGAGATATAATCAGGTACTAATTCAATACGAGCCCACGTCTATAAAGAACACCGTCTCCCTGTAGTTTAGTTAGCCAGGGCTTCCTTATGCTTATGAGGTCCTTAGTTCGTTTCCTCAACAACAACTTCTGTTCGTCCCTGTTTCTACATTCAATACTATCTCAATTTCCATCTTCATGCATTCACCTCATATAGCAAACCTCCTTGTATATAATCAAATCGATGGAACAGCCCAGTAAGCTCCATCCCTACATTGTATCAGAGCCATCGCCACCCCACACATCTATCCAGAACAACTTATAGTCCGGTCTTCCCACAAACCAATGGACCAGGGTAGCACTACTGAGTTATTCTGTTGTTGTATACAATGTTTGAAATAATGACGCAGGCACCGGAAACAACCCTCCGAGCCTGACGTCCACGTGGCGCATCGTTACTATTTCCATCCCCGAGTCAGGATAGTGTCCCCTGGTTGAGCATGGAAATAATCCAATCGCCGTCCATCTATATACTTCAGCCTTAAACTTTTACAGGAGATAGTATTCGTCTTATCGTGCCGTGTTATATTACACCTCAGTAACAATGGTATTGTCGATCCAACAAAGCGTCTTTCTCTACATGCCATTATACTGAAGCTCTTTGTTCGATATTTCCCTGAAGTGCTTCATCGTGTCTATTGTACTCGGCTTGATCCGGGAAATTTGCCCATCCAACCGGAAACATGCGAAAGCTGAGACACTCTTCGCTTCATGAAGTGAACAGGACTATAAAAACCCAGCTGCAGCAGCAACATGTCCCGTAAGACTCGAGACGCACACATACGGACCGCCGCGCCCCTTTGGGCGCTATCCACGGTCCAGGGCCCCGACGTGTTGTATACTGTGAATCATCTCAAAGCGATTAATTTAGTATATGACGAGATTCTAGCATCTTCAGGACTGTCGAAGAGATCTAAGCCTGCGGGATCTAAGTCGC